TTAGCTTTTTTTATTTTTTAAACAAATGACCTGATATGTTGGCCAGTCTGTGGGCAAAGTCATCTCTTGAAGGAACTCGTTTTTTTTTTTAACATGCAACTGGCTATGAAATGCTCCCGCTGCAGTTTGTAGCACCTTTCTTGAAACATGCTGATACAAAGTGGCTAGCCAGGTGTTTCGTTTGTGGCATTTTCTGTATTTTAGATACGTTTTCTCAGCTTTGCCTTATCCTTTCATAGGTTTCATTTTTCTGTGTTTATTTTGTGATTGCCTTTAAAAAATCCAGATGTGATGGAATCATAAATTATGTCAATGAATACTGATTGAGTTACTTTGTGGGATCCTCTACAAAGTAAGACCTTTGCTGGCTATCAGGGAAGCGTCATATACATAATAGAGTAGATGATGCCTATCAAAGAACTACAAGTGACAGTGTCTGGTGGTAGCTTTACTGAGTTCTGTGGGTATGCTGAAGGAACAGTTACTAACAATGAAGGCAGGTCTCTAAATGGGTAGAAACTGAGCAGTCAGGAATGGGCAGGTAGGGGGCATCACTAAAGAAAGGAATATAAGCACATGTGATTATGGCATAGAAAAGCATGTGTTTGCGGAGATGTTCTAGCACATTGGTGTGTGTGTAAGAAAGAATGCCACTCTAAAGAAAATTAGGTCCATTAGTTCCAGAACATAGTTTAAGTCCATAATAATTTCAGAACCATGAAGAATAAATAAGAGCTGAGGAATGAAGAAAGACATTTTGGCTTGCCAAATGGATTTAGATGAGTTATTTGCTGACATTTGAGCAAAGACAATTAAAATTGTTAGCATTTGATCACCAACTAGAAAAGTTTGAAGATTAAGGGCCCCCAGCATCTTTAAGTGAATAATAATAATAATGAGATCTTCTGCTGGAGCTGGAAATCGTAAGAACAAGCTCGTTTTGATTCAGGGAAAGTTAGACTTCAGATGTTGAGTTTTGTAGTTAAATGTAAGAGTGGAACTAGGTGAATATTTTGATGTCATCCCCCACGTTGAACCATTGGCTTGACATTGTGTTTACTGTGTAATCAATCTCACTTCAAAAATATGAATTTTTTGGCAGAGCACAAAGTAAGTTTGGGGCCAGATATATGTCATCATCATGCTGCTTACAGCAATTCTCACGGAACAGAAGTGCAGGTGTCATTTGGTTATCTGACTGTTGACAGTGATTACCTCGTTAAGGCACAGATACATTACCATCTTTTTAACATGGCTTGTTTTTCTGAATGTTATTTTTTTAATTGAAGAATGAAATGATTATTTGAAGAAGTAGATGGAGTAATGTGAAGGAAAAGGGAACATAGAGGACATTTCTGAAATTTGAAGGAAAGTACGCTGAGAAAAAAGTTGGACCTCCCAAACAAGTAAAATTTGAAGGAAAGCATGCTGAGAAAAAAGCTGGACCTCCCAAACAAGTTGAGCCCTTACAGAATCTATTTACAGAGCAGAAAAGCAGGAGCTGGCCTGAGTTCATAGTGAAACTTAAACCTGATTTCCTAAAGAACACACACAAACACATGTTTCCCATTTGGGTCATTATTTTTTCAGTGGAATTACTTCACGTTCCTTAGTATTTGAAAGGTATCTTTTCAGTTTTAAGGGTTATTAAAAAAAAGGTGCATGTGGCTGAGAATGTGGCCTAATGGTGGTAGAGTGCTTGTCTAGCATGCATGAAAGCCTTGGGTTCAATTCCTAAGAACCACATAAACAGAAAGAGCCAGAAGTGCCACTGTGGCTTGAGTGGTAGAGTGTTAGCCTTGAGCAACTGAGGCTCAGGGACAGTGCCAAGGCCCTGAGTTCAAGCCCTAGGACTGGCAAAAAAAAAAAAAAGAACAGTGCATGTCATTACAAATATTGTCCCGAAGATAAGTTAGTATGTTGTGCCTGGACGTACAGTATTATACAGTTACTTCGGAAATTAGAAAAACGAGTAGTATTTACATATAAAATGTTTGGTCTGGCCTCATACTCTTGACTTGATAAAACATTATTGAGGGGCTGGGAAGGTGGCTTAGTGGTAGAGCGTGTGCTTTGCATGCATGAGGCCCTGGGTTCGATTCCTCAGCACCACATAAGCAAAAAGAAAAAAGCCGGGAGTGGCGCTGTGGCTCAAGTGGTAGAGCACTAGCCTTGAGCTGAAGAGCTGAGGGACAGTGCCCAGGCCCAGAGTTCAGGCCCCATGACCAGACCCCCCCCCCAAAAAAAAACTTTATTGATCCTTAAGTGTAAATTGTCTCAAGGCTTAACCTCCATAACATTGGAAATATTCATAATTAAAGAAAATCATAACTATTAATACAAACACATGCTTCAAAATATTTTATTCAGTAACCTTTTCTTTTTCCTTTTTTTCTCCTTTAGGGATATTTGTATCCAGTATTGTTCTGATCTTGTCACAGCGATCACTTTTCAAGTTTTACATGTACAGCTCAGCCTTTCTGTTAGCTGCAACTTCAGTGTTGGTGAATTATTATGCTGCTTTGCACATTGACTTCTATGGTGCCTACAACACATCAGCTTTTGGGATCGAGCTGCTTCCTCGGAAAGGGCCCTCACTGTGGATGGCACTCGTGGTTCTACAGCTAACATTTGGAATTGGATACATCACACTACTCCAGATTCAGTCCATCTATTCACAGTTAATTATTTTGGATCTGTTGGTTCCTGTAATAGGTTTAATCACAGAGCTACCATTACACATCAGAGAGACTTTAGTTTTTACCTCATCCTTGATCCTCATATTAAATACAGTGCTTGTCTTGGCAGTGAAACTTAAGTGGTTTTATTATTCCACACGATATGTTTATCTTTTAGTGAGGCACATGTATCGAATTTATGGATTACAGTTATTGATGGAAGACACATGGAAGAGGATTCGTTTCCCAGATATACTTCGAGTCTTCTGGCTAACAAGAATTACAGCCCAGGCTACAGTGTTAATATACATTTTAAGGATGGCAAATGAAACTGAGTCCTACTTTATTTCTTGGGATGATTTTTGGGACCTCATTTGCAATCTTATAATTAGTGGATGTGATTCTACCTTAACTGTACTGGGCATGAGTGCTGTAATTTCCTCAGTAGCCCATTACTTGGGTCTTGGAATATTGGCCTTTATTGGATCAACTGAAGAAGATGACAGGCGGCTTGGCTTTGTAGCACCTGTTTTATTTTTTATTTTGGCTCTTCAGACTGGTTTAAGTGGGTTAAGGCCAGAAGAGAGACTTATTCGCTTAAGTAGAAACATGTGCCTTTTATTAACTGCAGTCCTGCATTTCATCCATGGGATGACAGACCCTGTATTAATGTCTCTCAGTGCCTCCCATGTGTCATCTTTTCGTAGACATTTCCCCGTGCTGTTTGTCTCTGCTTGCCTGTTTGTCCTTCCTGTTTTACTCAGTTATGTTCTCTGGCATCACTATGCACTAAATACATGGTTGTTTGCAGTCACAGCCTTTTGTGTGGAACTCTGCTTAAAAGTAATTGTTTCTCTCACTGTTTATACGTTATTCATGATCGATGGCTACTATAATGTCCTCTGGGAAAAGCTTGATGATTATGTCTACTATGTTCGTTCAACAGGCAATATTATTGAATTTATATTTGGAGTAGTAATGTTTGGAAATGGGGCTTATACTATGATGTTTGAGTCAGGAAGTAAAATTCGGGCTTGTATGATGTGCCTACATGCTTATTTTAACATCTACTTACAAGCAAAAAATGGCTGGAAGACATTCATGAATCGTAGAACTGCCGTGAAGAAAATCAACTCGCTTCCTGAAATAAAAGGGAGCCGCTTGCAAGAAATAGATGACGTATGTGCAATCTGCTACCATGAGTTTACAACATCTGCTCGTATTACACCTTGTAATCACTATTTCCATGCACTTTGCCTTCGGAAATGGCTGTACATTCAAGACACTTGTCCAATGTGCCATCAAAAAGTATACATTGAAGATGATATCAAGGATAATTCAAATGTGTCTAACAACAATGGATTTATTGCACCCAATGAAAATCAAAATCCAGAGGAAGCTATAAGAGAAGATGCTGCTGAATCTGACAGGGAATTGAATGAAGATGACAGTACCGATTGTGATGATGATGATGATGATGATGATGTTCAAAGGGAAAGAAATGGAGGGATTCGGCACACAGGCGCAGCAGCTGAAGAACTTGTTAATGATGACACTGATTAAAATAGCATTTACTAATCATTGAGGTATTCGTTTAAAATTCAGTTCATCCAAAATGAAGTAATATGCTTCACTTCAGTGTGTAACCAAGCACAAAAAACAGTATCAATGTTGAATCTGTGAATGGTTTTCCGTTTACTGTGATGTGCTACTGTAAATATACCTCTTTAATTACTTCTGGTCTCTTTGGTGACCTATTTAAATTTGTGTACATTATTGTACATAGAATAAAATGTTTTCACGTTTTTATGACAAAATTTGAACAAATAGCTTTTTAATAGATGTAATGATCATAAGGTGCGTCAACTGTGCCAAAGATTCCTCAATGAAATTTTATCATGTATCCAACTGTGGGCACTAGTTTTTCTTAAGAATGAGTGGGAGGATGAAAGTGTAAAATCATGAAATCACACAAAAGTCAAAGGTATAAAATATTTTGGACTAGAGGAGAAAGGTTACAGAGGTACCAGTCTTCTAGAAGTAATTTAAATTTTGAAATTTAAGTAGCAATATAGTTGATCTGAGTTCAGAAGTCACAAGTCAAAGGCAGAAAGAATTGAGAAATAGGCTTGTTTCAACTAAACTTTGGTATAAACTAGAATGTGCTGTTGATATTTGTGTCATAAAATTGTCCTCTCAGACTTGATGAGATTGCATAATAAAAATAGTGAGGCATTAAGTGATTTAAAAAAAATTGGATTCAGTTTTGTGGACAAATAATGAGGGGAGGAGGGTTGGTGCAATGATACATCTTTAGAAATCTCCCAGAAAATTCTCTTTATTGAATATGCAGTTTCACCATGAAATTTCATGTAATGGAAAATAGAAGACATATAAGTTAACATCAAGAAAAAAATACTTTAGTGCTGTTGTTGTATAACGTATTGGCTAATTCCAGTGGATCCTCATCTCTTACTGCTGACATTATCTCCAGTATTTGACTAAAAAAAAAAAAAAAAGATAGTTAGCTTTAGCTTCCATGAAGGTCTTCTCTTTTAGGTCTTCGCACTTTTAACAAAGTATGTTGAAAGTAAAGTTTTCAGTGGTATCAATAGATAAACCTCACTTATTTTACCATCAACTAGAGACACAGTTCTGGAGCTCACCTCTATATAAAACGGAGCCAAGATCCAGGTTCAAGTAAATTATAAAACTGGCCTACATTATGTATAACACAATCGTGGTAGGTTAGCCCAGTAGAAATGAGTCCTGGTTTAGTTTAGCTTCATTTCCATTTGTAAGAGTGTAGTGATGTGACCCAGAGGGATAGCACCTAGAGTTTGCAAACCACTGCTTTAGTCCTTTACATGAACTGGGAGCACAGTGACAGTAAGTGTAAAAAAGTGAAGAGGGCAGTACTTGTCCTGTGTTTTGTTCCTTGCAAGACAAAATAGTCCAGAGGTCCCAGCTTTCAGTTTCCTTGCCTAAAATAATTAACAGTATCTCCTAGTAGTATTATAGAGGTGTAGTATATCTTTTATATGTGAAAGTTCTAGTCCAAATTAAACTTTGAAATACTGTGTTAAGCTTTTGGTTCTTCTAAATATGAACACCTAAAGAAATTAAGAGTGGAGATTAACTGGAATTAAAAAAATTATAATAGTGACATGGGAGTATATGCATACTTGCTAGCATACAAACCCAATTATACTAGATGTGTGTGCTATCTGAAAAAAATATTAAAAGCAAATCTAATAGTAAACCATTTTTCCTAAGTAAACTTAAAAGTTTTCTTCTATGGATTCTTAAGCAGTGCTGGTGATGCTGTATAATTTAGAAGTTCACAATGGCTTTAAGACTATATTGTAGGGAATAGTCACTTTTCATATGTAGAAACTTGTTTATAAGTCTGTTGGTATCGAATATAAAGTTTATAGCTAGTTGCACATCTCTTTTGCATCTAACCTACTTATGTAGCTTTCATGGTCTAGAGCTACAGTTACTCTAAAAAAAATTTAATAGTTTTTGCTTAATATGGCACTCTTAGACTGGGCAAGTTTTGCAAGATCCCCTTTGGAGTCTTTCCTCACACTGGATAACCAGTTATACCTTAGGGAAAAAAAAAAAGAGCACTGTTGTGCTTTGAATATTTTGGTGCCCTGATAAAATCTAAACTATCAAAGTCAGCATACAGGAGCCCTAAGGACCTGGCCTCACTGTGCCTTCTCAGACTTGACTTACATATACCCTGTATACCCTACTTTCTCCACACTAAGTTCATTGTTCCCCAGGAGCCAGCCATCCCTCAGTAGAGTGCCTTTGCTCAAGGTGTTTGGCTCAACTCCTAGTCATACTTAGTAAACAGCTGAAATGTCACCTTAGTAAAGTACTCTCAGTTCCCTCAGGGCAGACAGTTGCTATGTTTAAGGTCCCAGTAGTAGATTTCATACCTCTGCAACAGTTGCAAGATCTTGGACTTGGACTCTTGTCTGCCTTCAGCTTGGGGAAAGCCTGACAGTCTCCAAGGGCCTGGCACAGCTGTGGGCAGGTGAGCCACAGGCACAGTGCTGGTTTTTCTAGGTACCTTAGTAACTTTGGAGCTCCTGACATAGCAGGAGCTCCAGAGAACTTATGATCTAAATGGAGGGATGATCTTTATACAAATAATTACAGGTAAAACTGCTAGGAGAATGGATGTGATAATAATGAATTTGTAAGTAGGAATTAACTTGCCAGTTAGCAATTAGATCAGAGAAATATGTGTAGGAAACATTTACATTTTTCAGCTTTTAAATGTTCACTTTTCCCAAGCTATACCTGTTTAGCTGACTTGAAGAGTAAGTGTACATGATTGTAATTTCATAGTTCTTAACAGTCTTGCATTTAAAAAATTTTGAAATTTTGCCTTGCAAAGGTACAGCAAAAGTCAACAGCTATAATTTTATATAACATTATGACATTTGAGTATACTATTGGCAGCTACTCCTAAGCCACTGCTGGCAAAATATCAGTTTCTTATATTAATATCCTCTCAAATCTCTAAATTACTATTAAAAATTGCTTCTTGTGCTTGACTTTGTTACCTTCATTTCATAAGCTACCAGAAAGTAAGCTCCTCACTAAGGATTTTTAAGTGTTTGCCGAAGCCAGCAGGGTAGCATAGTATTAAAGGAAAAGAACCTCAATTTTATTTTTTCCTTTTGGTAGTATTGGGGTTTGAACTCAGGTGGCCTCATGCTTGCTAGGCAGGTACTCTACCCCTTCAGTAATGCCTCCAGACCTTCTTTTGCTTTATTGATTCAGGTAGGATCTCAGGTTTTTGCCTAGGCTGGCCTGGACCAAAGCCTTCCGTGTGGCTAGGATGACAGGTACACACCATACCTGGCTTATTTGTTGAACTGGAGTCTCAACTTTTTGCCTGGGCTGGCCTCAAACCATGAACCTCCCAAACTCCATGTCTAAGTATCTGTGGTTATGGATAATAAGCTGCCGTACTTTTTTGCATTGCTAAATTTATGGTATAGCTTATCTAATAGTCATTATTCATTAAAATTACTCTTAAAAGATGGTGCATTTGGGAGAAACTATAAACAGTCCAGTATTTTTATGGATATGTTGTACTTATTGGAAACCACAGTGGACTGATAAAGTACAGATTTACATTACCTGATTGTATGAACAAAATAAATTGGATATATGCCACTAAAATTGTATAATCAACTTTTTCTGTTTAAGATACTTTTTCAGCTCTTTGACAGATGAGTGATAACCTCTCCACATGTGCTGTACATTGCCACAGAACAACTCTGAATTATTTTTAGGAAATAGAAAGTTCTGCCCTCTCACCCCCATTCCCTTCCCGCCTTTTTTGGGGGTTGTGAAAAGAAAATCCCAGTACCTGTTTTTGTCTCAAGGCTTAGAGAAATGTGTTATTTGATTTGGGTTGCCAAGTGATTTAAAATGCAGATAAAAGATCAGCCACAGGGAGGTTCAGAAGAACAGAACTCAACCAGGTCAGGTGACTGACAAAATGCACAGCTTTTAGATCTTTTCCCTCCTATGAAATAACTAATGGCCAGCTCATACAGTGGAGCTATAAAACCACATAGCAGCTATGATAGAGCAATTCATGTATCACTCCTCCAAATCGTTACTTATTGAAGTGGTCTTTGACCTGAACTTGAACTTGGATCATAGTGATGTGTCAATGCAGGTTTTTTTTTTAAATTTAATTTAATTTCTTTTTTCAATTCAGGTTTATCAACTCATGTATTAAAAATGACCAGAACTTGATTTTGGATTTCTCAGAACTTCTGCCCCTTGAATTCATTCTGTAAGTGACGTGGTTTTAAATGATTTTGAAGATTGAAAAAGCAAGACACTTACATTATATGGCAGGGTTCATTTCTGTCTTTTAAACAATGCCCGTTTTCCCACTTCTTTTTGGTAGGAAATGAAGTTTTTATATATTTTGATCCAGCATGTGTATTTTTGACTCCACACCAAGGTGCATCTAGTTAGGCAGAAAAAGAAGTATTAGTGGGTTTATACTTTTCTTTTGGCAGTACTGGAGTGTGAACTCAGGGCCACAAAGTTAATACAAATGAGCTCTACCATAAGAGTCACATCCACAGCCTTTCTAAGCTCTAGTTATTTTTCAGACGAGGTCTTGCAATTGTGTCTAGGGCTGCCCTTAGCTTGCAATATACCGGCCTGCACCTCCGGCCTCCTATGCAGCCGAGATCACAGGCATACATCAGTATGCGCAGTGTATTTGTTGCGGGGTAGTGGTAAAATCCTGCTAACTTTTTGCCCAGGGCTGGCTTCTGGCCAGGATCTCCCCTTCTGAGCCACCTGCCCAGAGGCTTCCTATGGCAATATAACAAAACATTTTTTTTAAGCACAAGATAAAATTCTAGGTTGCATATTAAATACTTTCCCACTGTTTTCTGCTAACAGTGTATGTACATGTGGTTGGCTGAGTGTGTGCTTAGCAAGCATGAGGCCAAGTTCAATCTCAAGTATCACATAAGACCTAAGCCTAGGAGAAATATAATGGGAACATAAACACATTTAACGTGAAATGGCTCTCTTGCCTCCATGGAATGTGAAGCCAGTGCCTTTGGATACTTATTTAATAGTCACAATAGCTCACATATTGTATAAGCACTGTGCCTCTAACAAAATCATTTTGTTTTCATGACTACCCAAGGATTTAAAAATAATTTAGAGTGGCTCTGTCTGGACTTTGCCAAATGCCATGGTATGAGAGCCTTGAATTAAGGTGCTTAAATAGTTTTAGCTTTTAATCTTGTTTTAAGAAGTATCACTAAAATTTTACATTAAGGCAATTTGGTTTAAATTTTTTTTTTTTGTCGGCCATGGGACTTGAACTCTGGGCCTGGGGGCTGTCCCTCAGCTCTTCAGCTCAAGGCGAGCGCTCTACCACTTGAGCTACAGTGCTACTTCCGGTTTTCTGGTGGTTTATTGGAGATAGGAGTCTCACGGTCTCTCCTGCCCGGGCTGGCTTTGAACTGCGATCCTCAGATCTCAGCCTCCTGAGTAGCTAGGATTACAGGCGTGAGCCACCAGCGCCCGGCTGGTTTAAATTTTTGTAGTGTTATGGAATCAAGCCATTATAAAGATGGTGTTGTATAAAAGACCTGAATAGATCATAACACCAACTCTGAGGCTAGTAGACATGTTCAATTATTTATTAATATCTACAATGTCTTTGGTTATCAGATCTGACATGCTATTTTAAAATTTTTTTATGCTTAGCCAAACTTCTAATATTGGGGGGAAAACTGTATAAATACTTCACTAATAACAATCTCCCCAAATCTCTGCTACTTGAACCATGCTCCCAGCTCTGTACATACTATTTAAAAGTACTTAACAACTGGGCACTATTGGTTTAGACCCATAATCCTAGCTACACAGGAGGCTGAGATGTAAGGATCATGATAGAAGCCAGACTGGGCAGGAAAGTCTATGAGCCTCTGATGTCCAGTAAACTACCAAAAAGTTGGAAATAGAGTTGTGGTATGTGGTAGAATGCTAGCCTTGGGCACAAAAGCTCGGGTGTATATCACCCAGGATCTGATTTCAAACCCTAGGATCATCACACACAAAGTACTTAACAATACCTTTGAAGTCAAATTTTCTTTTCTAGCTTTTTTTTTTTCAGGGTAGGGGAGGTTATAGTTTAATATGAAACTTAAAAAGTTCTGAAAATATCAACTTACCAGTCTCAATCATTAACTTTTCACTAGGTATTGACTTCAGGACTTCCAAATTAGCTTCAGTTTTCAGTGAGCTTTAAAAAGAGTATTTATCTTTTAAAAATAGCATTTAGTGAATAACTTAAAAACTTTAGAACAAATTTCAAAACCCCATATGTAATTTTGTTTTCAGTATATTTTCAAAAATATTTGCACATTTCTTATCCTTCACAGATCCCAGATTTAGATCAATTCTGATCAGATTTCCCTTTTGAAGATACAACTTTTCAGGCTTCTTAATTACTTCAGTAACTTTATGTACCAGTCTAAGTAAAATTTAAATTTTTTGTGTGCCAATACTGGGGCTTGAACTCAGGGTCGTAGGCACTGTCCTTTAGCTTTTTCATTGAAGGCTGGCACTATATCGCTTGAGTAATAGCTCCACTTCCAGCTTTTTGGTCTTTTAACTGGAAATAAGAGTTTTTTAGACTTTCCTGTCCCGAATTATCGCAATTCTCAGATCTCAGCCTCCTGAGTAGTGAGGATTACAAGTGTGAGCCAGCAGCATCTGGTTCTAAAATTTAACTTTTTAAAAATTCCTTTGCATAACTTAAGAGTGTTCAAAAAGCTGTTAACTTTCATTTTCAGCCTGGGACAGTGTATTCCTGCCCTCCTTTTACTCTAGTAGAATCACTGTCTGCACCTTGCCATGGTTTCTTAGGGAGGAAGAACTTCACTCCTTCCATCTGCCCTTGGCCTCAAGACTAGCTTTGGGCCAATGAGCTGATATGACTCCTGGCAATGTGCCCGTCTAAGGTTTGGATGGCATGGTATCTGAGCAGCATGCACTGATAACCAAGTATTTATTACCTCTTCAGCCTAGTGCCCAGATGGAAAACAGAACCAATGGCAGAGAGTTCAGCCTGTCTGCCAAACTCAGTTGACCCCAGATCTCCAAGTGTGGACACGCATGCCTTCTGTGATGCCAGTGAGCTGCAACAGCTACTACATATTGTAGCAGCTAATGTCCTTACATTTTAAAGAAGTTGATGTCAAAATTAACCTAATTTTTTTTTTCAGAAATTTTAGGTTCCCAGCCAAAGTGAGCAGGAGGTAGCGACTCACACTTCATGCCCCCATATGTGTACACACAGCCTGCTTCACTCTCCAGAGTCCACACCAGTGGTGCACTTAAGTGATAACTTACGCTGTGGGTCACTGTGGTACTGAGGTTTGAACTCAGAGCCTCAGAATTACTAGGCAAGTACTCTACCACTAAGCTACACTTCCAGCTCTTTTCTGGGCTCATTTTTTAGGTAGGATCTTACTTCCTGCCTAGTTTCAATTAAGAAGAAAGGTTATTGAAAACTACCCAGGCTGAGGCCCTGAACCTTGATTCTCCTCATCTCAATCTCCTCATCAGCTAGTAGTACAAGCATAATCCACAATTACCTAGCTAGGGTTAATTTTTTATGTACAGTCTATGGCTTGGGGCAAATGAGATGTATCTATCATTAGACATACATCCTCCATTATTATGAGTATAGAGGGCGTATCCACTGATATACAGAGTAGTTTCCCTGCCTAAAAATCCTCTGTGCTCTATCTTCCTCTCTCCTTACTGTGGAAACCACTGATCTGTTTGCAGTCTTTTCAAAATACCTTCATCCAAAATAAGAAAAATAAAATAGCATATTTTGGTGAAGTCTGTAGACATGTTGCCCCAGTCACAACACAGAAAACAGAAAGCAGACAAATTATATATGACTTGTGTTTAATTGCTAAATGACTTAAATGTGCCTATGGAGAGAAAGACAAGCAAACCAATTCATCTAAGAAACAGATTCTAAGAACTGGGTACCTAGAAACTGGGATAAGGCAGGGAATGGAAACTGAAAAGTCTAAGGAAATGATAGAGCTTCAAAATTATCTGTGATTGAAAAAAAGAAGAGCATAAATCAGAGTAGCTAGACAATGACTACCATAGTGTAGGTGCAGGTATGGGCCTGAAAACTACAGCTGATTGCTTATTGAACATCAAGGATCTCTCTCTGATCCTACTCTGCCCCAGAATACTGTCACATTTATAAATCCCCACCCCATTTTTTCCAGCAGGAACCAGATAATCCCTGCTTGGAGAAACCAAATGAACCCAGGAAAGATGTCTACAAAAGGATACTTGGGAATCTCTGATGGAAAAGTCACATGTTCATCTGGGCTAGCCAGATGGACTGTTCAACAGAGCTTCCAAATGTAATTCCACCCCCCCCCCCAATCAAGAGACAGTAAAGGGCTGCTTGACATTGAAAAAAAGCCCCCATAAGACAAGAGTCCAATAGAGGAAAAAGGATCCAAAACAAAAGCAGTAAAGCAATCAGGAAGTAACTTTCAACAAGGATTCATGTTGTTAGAGAGAAGAGAAGATACTGCATCTGTCAAGACTATATAAAAGAGCTTTACGGATGAAAACAAAGGCTGATTTTTTTTTTCCATTTTAAAAGACTAAGGTTTTTTTGGAAAGAGAAAAATAGAAGTTCTAAAATAAAAATACCATCAATCTGAATTGTTTAAAAAAAAAAAGAAAGCGACTCCAGGTCGTATGGTATGAGCCTGGTATGAGCTTCCAGCTAGGGAAGGTCAGGAAGAGAGTAGCACAGGTGATTAAAAAAAAAACAACAAAAAAAAACACCAAACCATCACAACACAGCTTTGTGAAATTTCTGAATGGCATAAGATAGAAAACTGAGAGAAGCACACTAGATCACAGGGAAAGGGCTGTACAGTCACAGCCCATCATCAAACTGAACCTTAGAATGAACAGTGAGGGGACAGGACACAGTCCCAGTGAAAATGCTTTCTAACCTAGAATTTGATGCCCAGAAAAGCTGTCAACCAAAAGTGGGTTTTCCTTTCCTTTGTTTATAACGATCCAAGCAAACTACCCAGGATGAGTATGATAAATTCCCCAAACAATGCAAAACTCTCAAAAAAGTTTACTTCCCATAAAAACTTTCTCAGGAAACAAAGACAAGTATTCTAACAAAGCAAGCCAAACCAAGAAAATCAGACTGAAAAACTGGAGTTCTATCATGGAAGAGACACTAGTCCATACGGAAGCAAAAAGACAAAAAGGCAACTATCAGACTAACTAGATGGATTTCCTCATAGAGGAAGCCAGAATAAGATATTTTACAGAGTTGAAGAATGTGAGAGAGTACTTTATTTTTTGAGACCAGGTCTTATTATATAGCATAGTGAAGTGTGGCCTTGAACTTGAGATCCTTCTGCCACTACCATCTCTCAAGTGCTCTACAAAATGTAAGCATGGTATATACCACAAAGGTCAGTCAACAATATTATATAGAATTAATGATGAAAACGCTGATGGTATATAAAACCAAAAGTTTGAAATAACTACATACCATACTAACGGCCACCTGCAACGGTGATTAGTATGGTATGTACCTTAAAAAATAGGATGATTTAAGAGCTCATAGTATGTGTGTATGATCTAGACATGGGGCCACAAACAGAACAGGGACCCTCCTGAAAAAGCTGACTCAGGGCAAAAGATAATTGCTTCTAAGTGTTTAGGTACTACTTGACTTTTTAACCATTAAGCATTCATTCCTTCGAATATTAATTTACCAATTAAGCCATTAATTTATATATGGAAGAAGCACCTAGGACACTGTAATAGTAATTTTCAGATTTTATTTCCCTAAGATCTTACAAATAGTATAATCAGAAAACTGATCATAATAAAGTAAAAAAAAAAAAACACTGAAGGGAGAAATCAAGTCTTCTATTTTGTGACTTATTTAATGGGCTGCATTAACATCCTATGGAAAGACCTGTTGGAAGCTCTTATATATCTGATAGAAAACAAGCCTAGCCCAGGGACCTAGCTGTGCTGGCTTGCTGCACTGGATACTGGAGGTTTAGTCTGGCATTCCAGCAGAAGGGTCACTGAGCAGGGAGTCAAAGGGCAGGTTTTCACACTTGGAGTAACTTTATACCTGTTCCTTAACTTCTGTGAGCCTGTTTCTTTGTCTACAGAGATATATAAATGATTGTGGTAGAACCACCTTTCTCCCATGGTCCAGCATAGGTATATATGCATTCACAATGTTGTGAACATGTACATATGTTTAATTGGATAAAATGACCTGAGAATAGATTGGATTGCTCGAGAAAGCTAGCAGCTGCCATCAACACAAAGTGTTCCCATTATTAGAAAGTATAAAACTTTCAAGCTTTGACTTGTAATTACATTGTATTGTTTATTTTTGTAAGTAAAGAATAACTAAAATTCTCAGGCAAGGGTCAATGCCAAACACACATAAGAACTGGTAATAAAAATGTTAACCCACCAGGAGCTGGTGGCTCACGCCTATAATCTTAGCTACATAGGAGGCTAAGATCTGAGGATTGTGGTCCAAAGCCATCCTAGACACTAAAGTCTTTTGACACTCTCATCTCCAATTAACTACCAAAAAGCCAGAAGTGGAGCTGTTGCTCAAGTGGTAGAGCACTTGCCTTGAGCAAAGACTTAAAAAACAAACAAACAAAAAAAAGCTCAGGGACAGAGGCTAGGCTCAGAGCTCAAGCCCCAGCCCCAGCACCAAAGACAAAAACAAAACTTTACCAACAACTCACTGTAAACAATGTAAGAAATCTACTTAATATAAAAGTTAAGCAAAAAACAGAAACAGCCTAAGAACGTACCAACCATTAAACCCAATATAAAGGTCCAAGTCAATCAAAGCAGCTGCTGCTTCCTTGGTACCATCAAAGGAATGTACCTAGAGACAGAGACGTAAGTTGATTATTATAGTAACTCCTTTAAATAAATAACTCCTTTAAAATTCTAACAGCATGACTTCCTAAGCAAAAGAGAGATCTGTAAGGGTTTTGGATCACAAGAGTTTCACATGTGGTAGTCCCTGCAGTTTTTAGGTTCAAGTCATTTCCGGTCACCATCTCCATTAATGTAGGCAAGATGCCCAGTATCCCTTCTGCAGTGGTTGTGTTGTTGTTGGCACAGGGTGGGGGTGGGGAGCTATGGTCTAGGCAAAGGCAGGAAGCAAGGTCAGAAACATTTTAACACTATTTAAATTACACTGTCAATCTCACTGAAATTTTCTATGAAAGGACATTTGTTTCCTTTCTGAATTCAATAGCATTAAGAGGCAAGTTTTAAGAAGCTCTCTAAAGAGGCAAGAACATTGCTTTAAAATGTTGATTGTACTAAGGCAGAGAGGAGTAAATTGCTATTTATCACCTTTGGAAATGCATAAATTCAGGCATAATTTTTCACATTTGGGGTGTTATTTATATAATCAACACCATTAATGAACACTAATCACCAAGACGTACTTTTATTGGGTGGGAGAAGGTGGTACTGGGATTTTCAGAGCCACACTATGCAACCACCCTGACAACTCCTTCATACTTACCACTCCACCCACACACCGGTCTCTGTTTCTTTTCATTACGTCTGTGAATTCAAAACAAAGAACTTTCAGCTAGTAGCCAGAGTCCTACAAAATGCTTAAATTCTAGATGAGATACTACTTTTAACTCACCCAAAAATTCAGCATGTGAATTTCGACAATGAAGAAACATTGGTAATTTTGTTTGTTCTGACAGTTCAAATTGTTTTTCAAAATATCTGCATAATGCAAACAAAATTTCCACACTGAAAATTTTATTTTAGCATGAGAAAAACAGGTCAGATAGTTTTTAATTAAAGAAATTTTATTCTCTAGATATATCAGTATGAAAACCCCTAAATTCAGCATTAAAACACATCAGGCTTAGCAGGGGGTTTTCATAACACAACTTCCGAGAGGGAAACTTCATTCTGGATTTACTAAACCATTCTCTCAACTGCTGGGTAAGTAGGTACCATTTTACACTGATGGTTAGAAGAGCTTCACTAGATTTGTTTATACTCATTTGTTATAAGAGGGGGGTTACTGATACTCCAATAATAATTACTTTTAACTAGCTTCCTGACCAAATCTCAGCAAATGAAGCAGACATCCATTCACAGAACTTGAGAGATAACCTGCAACATGCTGCCTTCAGCATGCGGGGGAGGGGTTGCTACCACCACTGACATCCAGGTGAGAAGCTGGAAGCCAGGCAGAGCTTGACTGTGATACTTTGCAACCCAGTTTTTTTTTTGGGGGGGGGTTGGTGGCTTTCTTTTCTTTTCTTTTTAATATTGTTACAAAATAAGTTACTGCCATACAGCAAAAAAAAAAAGAGAAAAAAAAGAAAACTGAAAAAAATGAAATCTAGGGCTGGAGTGTGGATCAAGTTGTACAGCACCTGTCTAGCAAGTTTGAAGGCCTGAATTAAAACTACAGTAGTAAAAAAAAAAAGATGAAAAATAAACAATGGCCTGAACATGCTAATGTTCTTGGTAAGATGCTTCCATGTACCACATATTCCTCACTTGATCATTAAAATAACCTACGATAGGACAAGAGCTGGTTTCTGAGAGGTATAGTATTTGTCCAAGATCACTGAGGACAGGCAAACTTGGAGCCAAATCTTGAGAGATTTAATTCCAACCCCAGCCCAGATGACTCCAAACAGTTATACTCTGAGGAAGCTTCTCCCATGTCCCAGAGTACAGTGACAACATCTAGCAGACAGACAGAACGGCTGGGTGTTATGTTTGGCTTTTCATTTTAACAGTGTCCCCTTGTTCTCGTCAATGGTCGTGTTGAGTTAGCTGAAACCAGGACAACAGGTAGCTTACTGTTTTCTAAAATGGCTTTACCTCCTCTAAATCCTGAAATTTGTGAAAACATTTATGTAGCTTAAATGTTCTTTTGCTGTATTTTCCTATATCTGAACTTCTGGTGTACTGAGCTATTTTCCTCTAGTACTTTGTACTCTTGGAAATGCTAACTTTTAAAATTAGAAATGGAAATCTCCTTCATAAGAAAAAGTCTTCCTAAATTAGTTGGCCTAACAAACTTAATATCTGGGGTTTTTAATCAACCTTTCAAATTCTGCAGGACTAAGATAAGTGGAGATATTTTCTTTTAAATGCTGACCATGTTGCAGTGTAGGAAACATTAGTGACAACTTGGAAGAAAGAATCTTACAAGTTATTACAACTACCAGTTCCATAATTAGTCCAGTGTGTGTCATCATTGTGTAACTTAGTTACTTTTTTTAACTAAGTTTTTTATTATGAAAATACAGAGGGGCTACAATTAAATGAGTACATTTCTTATCAGGCATTGTTGCCTCCTTTGTTTTCCCCCATCATCCCTTCCCTGCCATCTCCATAACTACCGGCCCCCCAAACTGTAAAGTTCATTTTCGACATTGTAACTCAGTTTCTATGAGGCTCCTGGCTGCAGCAGGGAATGCTCTCCACTGAGCTCAGCACTCCATAATGCCATTTCCCCACACACAACTCTGTGGACCAAGCCAAAGGAACCCATCACACATTTATAGAAACTAAGAGCTTTCTATCTTAGAAGAGGCAAAAGAAAATTTATAAGAATAACAAAGCAATACGTGTGTGTAATTTTTACATAATTTGAGAGAATAAGGTCTCCAAATTCAAGCTAGCTAAGTATCATTTGGAAAGCCACATGGGGGAAAAAAACTCGTAATGATACAAATTGAGAATAACTAGTGGATAACATTAATGGCTTTTCTTTAAGGAAGAAAATCTCACCGTGGCAACTAGAAATAACAACACAAGCTGCAGGACAGGAATTGGAATCTATCATGAGACTTTTCTGCTTGCTTTACTTACACTTTCTTTCAGTTCATAAATGAACATTGTTAAGTGAAACTGGTTCTTTACCTGAGTTAGATCTGCTTGTTTTTGCACAGCTGTGATTTGCTTTAGGCTGAATTAAAATTTAGTGACAACACTAGATTAGGGCATGGGCTTGAAAAGGTCAGTTTCAGAGTAGCAGTTGCTACTACCTAGGATGCAGGTGAGCCAAAAGCTGGCTGAAAACAAGGATGGCCTCCATCTCCTCTCTATGGCTGCCCTCCATCCTATTCTTCCTCTTCAGCATCTACTTTACAAAAGGCTCATGAGAACCAGAGTCCAGCCTCCACCTGATCACAGACCTTACTCTCCAGAATATCTGGAGTTTCAAGTCTAGTTTATGACCAACTCCAGCAGTAAACCTGCTCCCTGTCATAATGGATTTCAGCTAGGGTGCACAGACAGGAGTCCATTTAAGATGGAGCAATGGAGGAGGGGGATACACTTCTAGCATATATAATTTGAATAAAGAAACCCAAGGCATAAAGTTATTGACTTAATCAAGATAGGCACACAAGCTAAGGGTTTAGTTTAGTGGAAGCAGGGTTGCTTAGCATGAGTTAGGCCCTAAGTTCAATCCCCAGTGCAGGGGAGAAAAATTCAACAATCATTATTATCTGGATATTAGAAGATAATTTGATCCAATTTCTCCTTCATACATTAGAAAGAAGGTTGTTTATTCTCAAAATCTCTTTAGAGACAGAACACATACATATTTTGTACACTCTTGAGTTCCCAGAAGTTGCTGGCACAGAGTACTCAATAAATATTTGTTCACTGAATGAATAACTAAATTAACTTAGAAGGAATTTTAAAAATATTTCTGGCTGGAAGGGTAGCTCAGTCAGTGGTAGATGCTGACCTAGCATGAGGCCTTGGGTTGAATCTGCAGCACATAAAATGTTCATGTTTTAAATTAAGACTCTACCCTAATTTTTCTGTTTAACTACATAGCACTGGACCACCAGTAGGACAGACTATAGTAGGACATCCTCAACACTGTGGGCTTTGGATTTGCTCGGAAGTTACTATCTTAACATGGCTTGTATGGAAGGATTCTTTCCGTTCCAAGTGAATAATATCCACTTTCTAGTAAGAGTAAAAATTGTTTCTTCCTTTGGTTATTGACCCTTATAATCCTCTAAATATCCCCTGCTTTTACATCATATTCTCAACTAAGGTACTCTATCCAGGTATATTAAACAATGACCTGTTTCTTTTCTTTCTTTTTAAATGGTCAGTCATGGGGCTTGAACTCAGGGCCTTGGCACTATCACTTGGCTTTTTCACTCAAGGTTAGAGCACTTTACCATTTTAAGCCACAGAACCACTTCCAGCTTTCTTATGGTTAATTGGAGATAAGAATTTCATGGATTTTCCTGCTCAGGCTGGCTTCAAAATGTGATTCTTAGATCTCAGCCTCCTAAGTAGCTAGGATTACAGGCATGAGCTACCAGCACCAGGCTCAAATGAACTGTTTCTATCCCATGAATTATATATAATGAAGCATGGACTTTGTTTCATCTAACTTTTGATATGCACAGAGGAAAACACAAGCATCCTAATAGTTAGTCTAATGATATGCTCAATTGATGTTATTTTTTTTAAAAAATTACTCAGAATTTACAGTAATTTTTAAAATCAACAAGTTTTCTTACTTGAGCTGAGTATCTTTGGGACAAAACTGAAGTCGATCAAAATCTTTAAAAGATAAGAAAAGAATAATTACTCAGGATAGATACAGAACTACTCAGTTATTCTAAACACAGTTGTTTTAAGTGGTTTGGTTGGCACTTACCAAGTCCACATTCCCCTATTGCGACAACCTTCCCCTTATTGTTTTCAGCAAGACCGAGCAGCTCCATTAGGTAAAGATCAGGGTTATCCTTTTCAAATTCACTACATCTCGTAGGATGACATCCAACTGTACTGAAAAACATATCTAACACAAAAATCACACCTTGGGGTTGTTTGCAGCATGTTTCTATTTAACATGAAAAAATGCAAATAACTTCAGCTGATTTTCAACTGCATAAATGATTCAAATTACCAGAATTACATCATGCTAATCATGTAAAAATTTATGGATATGAAAATTGCCTTAATGTGTTAATAATCAATTCAATTCTTTCCACAGCTTGATATTTACTGAGCATAACAGAATAGAAAGTGAAACAACTTTTTGAAATGTCATCATCTAATTTTATCTTTCATCATCACATTCATGTGACTGCTGTAATTCATGGATTTAATATTACAGTTAAAATGTATTCCCCATGAAAAAGCTAAAAGCAGGGATGACTTTAAAGGAAAGGCTTTCCTTACTTGTTTATAGCTCACTTATTTGAAGACTAGATGTTTTAGCAGCCTTTACTGTATGGAGCAAGTGAGAAAATCAAAATGATTTTAAAAGGGGGGGGAGTAGCTCATTGTAGACTGGACAGCATGCAACAGGCCCAGCACCAAACAACATCAAAGGTTTGTGTAGGTTTATAGGGACCCACACTTGAATACACAGAGGTGGTGTGGACTCTTTCTCAAGCTCTCCCACAGATATCTATAGATAAAAGAAGGCAGCCCTATAAACCTATGAGGACACAAGATATATGAAGAGGAATGGAAAAGGGCTAATAAGGGAGATGATGGTAACTTAAAATCATCAGCTTGGTAATGAAAAGAACAGAGAAAATGTTTATATTTTGAAGACCTCTGAGAAGGTGATTAGTTTTATGTCTTTAATCACTAAGAAAATGTATCAGGATATTGTAAGTGTGTATTTTAGAAGGATTTCTATAAAAGATTGGTTTTAGGGCTGGAAAGGTGGCTCAGTGGTGGTAGAGTGCTTGCCTTTCAAGCACGAGGCCCTGGGTTCACTTCCTCAGCACCACATAAGCAGAAAAAAGCTGGAAGTAGCACTGTGGCTCAAGTGGTAGGGCGCTAGTCTTGAGCTGAGGAGCTGAGGGACAGCACCCAAGGCCCAGAATTCAAGCCCCACAACAACAAGAACAAGATTGGTTTAATAAGATTTCATATATAAAAGGAACACATCTGTATTTTCAAAAATCACATGTAATATAGGCATTCCCCAGTGTATATACAGTACATTAGGCATAGGAAAAAAAGTTAAATGCTAAATGAAGTGTTTTATAGAACTGGCATTCTTTTAAGAATTCCAAAAATTTTAAGATTTTAAGTAAGTGTAAAATGTATGAACATTAAAGGAGCATATGAAGATTGTATATTACATTGCTACTTGCATTCCTGGGGCCTTACTCAGTATCTGGTCTACACGATCACCATTTAATAAAGCAGGCTGGAGATACAAGCCCATAAACCCAGCCACTTGGCCATCTGAAGCAGGAAGATCAAGAGTTCAAAGTTAGTCAGAATATAACAAGACTCATCTCAAAAAAAAAAAGATAAAAGATAAAAGAAAAAGATCAATAAATTAATCCTTTATAGCATAAATTTAAAAGGAATAAAAACAACTTATATTTAAAATATATTACAATATATGCCTAAAAGTTCTGCGCGCGTGCGTGCGCGCGCGCGTGTGTGTGTGTGTGTGTGTGTGTTGGTGCCGGGGCTTGAACTCAAGGCCTGGGCACCATTCCTTAGCTTTTCACTCAACGTTGGCACTTTACCACTTGAGCTACACCTGCACAACTGGCTTTTTGGTGGTTAGCTGGAAATTCGTTATTTTATTCTCATAGACTTTTCTGTCCAGCCATGTTTCAAACCATGATTCATCCTCAGCTCTCAGCCTCCACAGTAGCTAGAATTATAGGTGTAACTGGTACCTACTCAAATTCTTAAGTTATACACACGGATTACTTTTCCTCACTTGACTGAAATATTATATGAGAAGGTTTTATCAAACACCTCACACACCAATCAATCCTCTGAAATTTGTCATCTTAATCATGTCCTGTTTAAATCAGGGCATTTTCCTACAGTGTCTACAGTCAGGTTTCATTGAATCTGTACCTGAAGTAGTTCTCAGACTTCTTCAAAATTATTTAATTCATTTTTTTGTTAAAGTAATATGAGGATACCATTTGTTTGTGCCAACTGAAGTGCATCTTTACTGTCTTGTAGATTTCCACCTGTAATCATAAACTGAAACAGAGAGAAAATAAGCTGACTTCAACACATCAACAATTCTTCCAGGTCTTCCCACTTGCCTGTTCTCTGTCAAAGCCTACCTTTCCTTTAAATGTCAGGTCATGGCAGACTGATTAAAGACTTGTGAGTTTACAATGCAGTTCATTTAAATCAGTCATTCAATAGTGTTGATTAGCTTGGTAGTTCTCCCAGTGTGGCCCAAGAAAAATTGCCAGGATATACAGGAGGTCAAAACTACTTTCAGAACAATACTTAGGCACTGTTTGTCTTCATCTCTCTCACTCTGCCACATTAGGTCTTCTACAAGCTGCTGGACATGTGATACCACAATAGACTGACCACAGAGATGGATGAGAAATTCCAGTTGTCTATGAAGCTAGTTATTATAACAAGACTTAAAATAATCCCTCTTGTTTCTAAAGTTGGTTTTGGAAAATGCTTACATAAAATAGGAAAAAGTTTTCATAAAAATACTATTTTATATAATAGTTTATTGTTATTCTAAAATGAGTTAATAAATATTTTTAATTGCTTTAATTTCTAATATACATCAGTAGACATAGCCCAAATAACTAAAGCTCTTGAAGACTGTGGAAAGGGTCAGAAAAGGAAAAGTACAGTGACAAATTCACTGGAGAGAAGTTATGGCTCTTGGTAAATATGCATTTTCTAAAGATACAGCCTTGTCTGTTTGTGCCAGAACTGGGGCTTGAATTCTAGGCTCTATCTCCCTCCACTTTTTCATTGAACCATGCCTCCATTTCTGGCTTTTTGGTGACTGGAGATAAGAGTCATGTGGATTTATCAGTCCCATATGGCTTCTTACCAAGACTCTCAGTTTGCAGCTTCCTGAATAACAAGTATTACAGGTGTGAGCCACTAGTGTGTAGCTTGATACACACACACACACACACACACACACACACATTTTTAAAGCTTACTTCAAATATCTTAGTAAGTTATAAAGAAGAATTCATCCTAGGCACATACCTAAAGAGAACACACACACCACACACATACACACAAAAGTGGAATTGCTAGATACCGACAGCTCAAGCTTATAATCCTAGCTACTCAGGAAGCTGAAATTTGAAGATCATAGTTCAAAGCCAGCCCTGGCAGGAAATTCTGTGAGATTCTTACCTCCCATTAATAACCAAAAAAACAGAAGTGGCGCTTTGGCTCAAGTAGTAGAGCACTAATCTAGAGCATAAAATCTCATGACCCACATACACACATAAAAATGTGGAATTGAATATTCTTTTATAGCAACTTAAGCCTCTACTATGACTAGACATTGCACATCTACCAGGGAATGAAAGTCATAATTAAATCCTCAACTGCTGTGGAACACAGGCTATAAAGCAGTTGTAAAACAAAACAAAAACTTTGTACTAACATGACCTAGTTCTTTAGAACTAAACTAGCTGCCTACATCTAGTACTTAAATTATGTTCAACAGTTTCTGAGCAAGACTACTTTTTACTTTACCCTAACAAGGGAAGAAGGGCCAGATGAGAGGGTCTGCCATTCCCCCATGACAGTGGTGGTGCACTCCCCATGTGCTCTACCTCTATGTTAGGTATAGAAGCAAATGCTCTGCATTCCACATTTTCTTTCCCTTTCACTCTACTAATGAATGGCCAATATCCTTCCTTTTTTTTTTGTTTGGGTTTTTTTTTAACTGTATTTTTTTTGTCTTTTCCTTTTGGTACTGGGGATTGAACCCAGGACATTGCGCTTGCTAGGCAAGCGCTTTGCCACTGAGCTACATCCCAGCCCTATCCTTCCTTTTTTACAAATGAGAAAAGTAAAATCTGGGGAGATAAAATATCCCATGTTATGAGGCTATGAAGGAGAAAGCTGGGGCTGGAAGCCATGCTTGTCATGCCAGAACCGTTCTGCAGGTTACCTGCATGAACATGATACATAAATATAAAATGGATGCAGGTCCAAGTAAAATTCCCCTCGGTTCTGTCATTCCATGAATGTGTGCCTGGTTAGAAATGTTCAGATGAAAGTACTCACGGCTGACACAGAAAAAGTTAGGAGCTTGGAATTCCAGAGTTTGCAGCAAAGCTCTATACAAAGTGATTTAGCAAGTAGGGAAAGACTACATAATGGGAGAACTGTGTCCCTTTCATCCTTTGCTATTACCTAATAGCTCTGTACACATTTAGAGTTGGAGGCTATGGACCTCATGAAATCAGTAGTGTCATTTTTTTAGTGCTGAGGACTTTCACTTTATTTATTCATTTATTTACTTACTTATTGTCAGTCATGGGGCTTTAACTCAGGTGCTGGGTGCTGTCCCTGAGCTTTTTTTGCTCAAGGCTAGCACTCTACTACTTTGAGCCAAAGCACCACTTCCAGTTTTCCTGTGGTTCATTGGAGATAAGAGTCTCACAGACTTTCCTGTCCAGGTTGGCTTTGAACTATGATCCTCTGATCTCAGCCTCCTGAGTAGCTAGGATTACAGGTGTGAGCCACCAGCACCTGATTGGACTTTCACTTTGGAAGTAATAGCTGCCATGGGTCTTGAAGCCATGACTTCACCCCATTTTTGTATGTGTAGGCTAGCCTGCATTTGAAAACTAATTTAAAGAAAAATCTATCTGACCAATTTGACACTGAGCCAGTTAATATTCGTTTATTCTTTAGAACTGTCTACAAAAACAGCAAAAATTTTTATTGCTGTGAAAATTACAGTGCTATTAAAAATAGTAACCCATAAGGCAAACTTAGTGACAGGTGTGTGTCTATTTGATGACTGCTTAATTTCAACAAACGATAAGTCATATTGAAAATTTTTAATTGTCTTGTAAGAAGCTGGACACTTCAAATAGATAAAGTATTTTAAATATATTTTGTTACCTATAACATTTCTAGGGTTTGTGTAAGTTAAATACCTGTGAACAGAGTAGTTTGATATTTTTTTTTAAATAACAAAAAGCAGATGTTACCTTTTTAACACCAATCTGGACAGCTCTCTCTATTACATCCTGCAAATCATCTGTACAAGATAAATCACATGGTAAGAAAACCTGGGATAAATAATGAACTTATTATTAGTAAATGAATCTAGTTAATCTCAAAATAAAAAGAGACAATCACATGTACTAAATCAAAGTATAATCATGTGTTTGAAAAACACTGTGACATACATAGTAAGACAAGAACTAGCAGTTTTTTAAATTAATCTAAGGCTAGCTAGACAAATACAATATAATTAAGTGTATTTTTATTTTGTTGACAAAAAAGTGAGGATCAGGACTGGGAAGGTGGCTCAGTGGTAGAGCACTTGCCTTGCATGCATGAGGCCCTGGGTTTGATTCCTCAGCACCACATAAGCAGAAAAAAAAAGCTGGAAGTGGCACTGTGGCTCAAGTGGTAGAGCACTCGCCTTGAGCTGAAGAGCTGAGGGACAGCGCCCAAGCCCAGAGTTCAGGCCCCACGACTGGACCCCCCCCAAAAAAAGTGAGGGTCACAAAAAAATCACGAGATTCAAACTAATGAGTAGAAGGTACTTGCTTTGAATTTGGAAACTGATTTGTTCGTTGTGCCAGTAACAAACTTAGGGCCTTGCATTCTTGTTTGGCTTACTCGTGACTGGCACTCTATCACTGCCACGTGAGCCATCAAGTCCAGCATTTAGCTCTTAAAGGGTTGATAGCTAACCTTAAGTGATAACTAGAAACGATTTTGTTTTCAGCTGTTTTCTGTTACCCTGTAAGAGGGTACCCTGTGAAGCAGCACACTGCCTATATGTTAGGTCTCTAAAAAGCTAGGCCGCTGGAAAGAACAAAAAGCAAGATAAGGAAATAGACACATTAATCACATTGCTATTTTTCATTACCTCACCGAAAATGTTAAAAAAAAAAAAGTGTAAATTTTCCACAGATAAAGAACAGGGATGGATTAAAGTTTTATGTGAGAGATGTGGGTCAAACAGTAGATCACCTGCCCTGTGCAAAGTTCTGGGTTCAATGCAGAACAAAGAAAAAACAAAAATCACAATTTGTAGTTTGCTGCTACGTGTGCCTTATAAATGCCCTTAACTATGGTTTATAAATATAGCTTGTTTGTGCTTCATTTCATTTTAATCTAAAATGCACGATGAGTTATTGTACATCCTAATTTAAGGGTGAATTAAACTTTTCAAGGTTTCTTTAGAGAATTGATCTTCACAGAGGAACACTTTACAAACTTAAGAAGAGAAACACTTACCTTGGTGCTTCTGAACCCCCCTATAAATTCCTCTGAACATAGGATCTGTTAGGTTAATACCAATATCTGCAGAAAGTAAACAGAAAATAACCAATTAGTCATCAAGAGTCTTTACTTGAAGCTTCTGTTGATGTTTCCATTCCCACCCTCATACGTGATCACCTCATGTAAGTGCTGGGCACTTAGCGGCAACTATGAAACATTACAATTAGCCCTGGTATTAAAGGACACAGAAAAGGAACTTCCAGCCTGTCTGGTGGTAGGCTCACAAAAGACTTACAGAAACAATTCCTGACCTGATCTCCTACTTTGAGTTTCTCAATGGGACAGGGTACACTGCAGCCAGCCATACACTGCAGCCAGCCAGCAAAGCCTGCCCTGGTGAAATAGCTGGAGAGAAGCAAGAGGAAGGAAGTGTCCAGAACAGGCAGGACCCAGTAATGTTACAGACATTGTGTTTACTGTACCACACTGGATACAAGAGCACTGCTGATGGTGTTTAAGCAGAGAAACAAGATTTACATGTGGGCATCTCATTGTGGCATCTTTGCAGACAGTGGGACAAGCAGAGTTAGTCTGTCTCAATGAGAACCTGGGAAAAGTTCATACATGTGGTTAGAAGAGATTGAATTAAAGTAATGGAAATGGAAATACAGGAAGTGTAATCATTTACTTATTTTTCGTATACGCTATATATAACTATAAATAGAATGTGCTATAATGTGCAAGTCATCATGTTTATCTTCATCATCTTCCTAGAACCTAGTATACCTAGAGATCTTACAGAAGGTGTGCTGTCCACAGGGATTTAGTCTGTAAATAATGACTATGCACCTGGGAACAAATGGGAAGGGCAATACTGTTTTGACAGGGATGATGAGAAGAGCTTCCCAGAAGAGCTGGGTCTTGAAGACAGAGTGTAGGTCTACATGCTGAAGACAAAGGGCATTCTACACCCAAGTGTGTACAGACACTACTGAACCTGGGACGCCAGAGGACCTCTGCGGCACCTGCGGGGCAGCAGTTTTGTCTCACCTCTCCCTCTAACCACAAAACTCATCTCCAACATCTGGCAATGTCTGTAAACTTTTGGGGGTGTCACATCTAAAAGGAGCATTACTGGTATCTAGTGGTGAAGTCATGAGTGTTCAGGAAAACCACCCACAACAAAGAACTATGTGAGCAAAACAGTAAAATGGGGCTCTTGTTAAACCTTGCTGTTGAACCTAAGAGAGCACAGGAAAAATGAGAAAACCAAACTCTGCTCATCATGCTGATGCCCTTATATCTTTGGAATGTTCTACATTGTGCTTTTCTCTTACTAGTTCAAATGCTTGAAATACTTTCTCCACTACATATGCCGCTATATTTAAGGTAAATATGCTTGAGGCTGGGCATGGTGGCTCACCTGGAATCCTAGTTATTCAGGAGGCAGAAATAAGGAAAATCACAGTCTGAGGCCAATCTATGCAAAAAGTTACTAAGACTCATCTCAACAAACAAGCATGGCTTGGTGGTTCTCTTCTGTAATCTCAAATACACAGGAGAAAGGTTGTGTCTGAGACTGACCAAGAAAAAAAAATGTACAAGATCTTATCTGAAAAACAACTAAAGTAAAAAGGGCTGGAAGCATTGTTGGGCCCTGAGTTCAAACCCCAGTACTGTCAAAAAAAAAAATCAAACAAATAAACAGTCTTCAGTTTTCAGCAATAGGAGAATCTCCCAATTCTTGTAGTGGGGGAGCAGCTGCCTACCACTAGACTTCAACATTATTTCTATTATTATATATTGCTATATTCTCATTGATTCCTTCTAATCTGGACCCTAGGACGTACTGCCACATTTCGGAGACCTTGAAAAATGACTGGTAGTTTGGATAAACAGAGAGACAGTAAAGAACGTATTTCAAGCATTTGAGCTAGTAAAAGAAAGGCACAATGTAGAAAATTCCAAAGATATCAGGGCATCGGCAGATGAGTGAGTGATGTACCTCTTTTGTTTGTATTGTTTTTCTTTTTTTGGGGTCCGGTCATGGGGCCTGAACTCTGGGCCTGGGTGCTGTCCCTCAGCTCTTCAGCTCAAGGCTAGCGCTCTACCACTTGAGCCACAGTGCCACTTCCAGCTTTTTTCTTTTTGCTTATGTGGTGCTGAGGAATCAAACCCAGGGCCTCAGGCATGCAAGGCAAGCGCTCTACCACTGAGCGACCTTCCCAGCCCTTGTTTGTATTTTTTGATGGCACCAGGGTTTAAACTCCAGGTCTCATCCTTGCTAGGCAAACACACTATCATTTGAGCCATACCCCCAGTCCCTTTTGCTTTAATTACTTTTTGATAAAATCTTGCATTTTTGCTCAGAGCCAGCCTTAGACATGCTTCTTCTGCCTGTGGCTTCTCATGGAGCCCAGATAACAAACACACGTCCCCATATTAGGCTTATTGATTAAGATGGGTTCTTGCAGCAAATACCTACAAAAAAGTTCAAATTGACTAAAAGGAATTCAATCTATGAACAAGTTCTAAGAAAGACAGTAAGATAGAAGAACTATCATTATGCAGTTATGGAAAGAAAATGGGCCTTGTAGTTAGAACTTCTGAGTGGCCAATTATTAATTGACTAGTCTTAGCTCTTGCTGAGCCTCAATTTTCTTACTAGTAGGATGAGCACAGAATTATTCTTTTGGGCCTATGAAATATATCTCAAACCCAGAAATGTAGAAGTGAAGAAATTTTGTAGATCGAAGGCCTATAACATGTCATCATCATTATTACCGAGCATAGACAGCATCATACAAAGATTGTAGCATGCCATCACCAAAGAGAATCTGGGCTGACATTAGCTACCTTCCACACCGTCTCATGTGGTCAATGCTTCCATCCCTGACTGCAGCATCAAACAGCCAAAGGTGGGCCAACCTGTTTTGTTGTCAAAATCCTATTTATTTAACTTGTTCAAAAAGTGCAGATCTGTGATGAGTGTCTTTTAAATTAAAACGGTTCCACTCAGAAGTATGCTTACTGACAAGGAAATTCAAAAGTAAACAGTACTGTATGAAACCCAATTTCTAGTCAGTTCCAGACAACTAGAGTAAATAGTCTAAAAAAAGACAGATGGGGGTTGGGAGGAAGTGGCAGGAAGGAAAACAAAGCAAAGTGGGAAATTGGACTGTGCTTCTGATTAGGGAATGAAATTGAAGGATTCGTATATTTCATGGTATGTCACACTATGTAGAGGAACATGTTTCCTTTTCGTTAATTTTTTTAAATAGATAGCTTTGCTAAAAACCACTTCATCTATTAATGTGCTTATGTTTTTCAAAATAAAACAGAGGAAACTTGTTTGCACTGTTAGCAACCAAGAGAAAAAATACACCTTCCAAGTAAAGCCTGTTTGTACTCAAGTGAACCATGTCCAGGTGACAGTCATCTATGATTTAGAGATACAAAGGGACAGCAAATAAGGTATTTCAAATTTTGTTGGTCTTTCAATATAATTTCATGTTTACAAGAAATACAGGGGACTACAGAACAAGCCAAATGACACTACTATTGGCAACAGACCAAAAATTAAGGACATTTTGTGGGACAATCAGTCCAGTTCCTTCAGCAAATCAACACCAGAGGGTAGAAAAAAGTGCTAGAGCAAAGAACTGGCAGACTCCTGCCGCAGCCACTGCCTTTTGTTTTGTTCTGTTAAGACAAGGTCTCACCACATAGCCTCAGCTAGCCTCTTACTAGTGCTCCTCCTGCTGCACCTCCTGAGTGTTGCAAGTTTGTTAATGAACCACCACACCTCGTTCCCACTGCCCCATTGCGTTCAACTCTAGGCTAAGAATGATTTTACATTTTAAATAATTGAAAAAAAATAGAGTATTTGTGATGTGTAAAAACTATAAAAAGCTTAAGTTTTCATATCCACCAAGTTTTATAGGAACATGGCCATACCTATTAGTTTACTATTACCTATGGCTATTTCAGAATGCCAAGGTGAGGTAAGAAAACACAAATTGCTTTCCCTAAGTATAGTCTCATGTCCAAACACTCCCCATACCTCACTCTGACACCAGATATGTGAATGTCACCCTCCCTACCTCCTGCACAACCAATTCTCCAACACTAGCTGGATGTTATAGTTTGGATCTCAAGTAGTCCCCAAGACCTCAAATGTAAATGTGTTTTCCAGAGTTGCCCACGAATAGTTCGGCTTTCCAGCCTCTTCTGCGTTAGAAATGGAGTGTAGTTTGGAAAGGAAACCACTTCTTGTGCAATTGGAGGAAATGGAAATGTAGAAACCATACAATCTGGGGATAGTCAACTGTTCCCATCCAAAATCTATGGCTGGTATCATAACAGTGTTTTAATTTCCCATCCCAGAGTTCCAGGTAAAGCTCGTTCATGGACCAAACTTCCACAGATCTAATATGGTCTTTCAAAGTTCTGTTCATGACTTAATGTAGTAAGTTAATAAGCCAATGTACTGTTCACAAGCAGTTTTTTAAATGGCATGGAATAAAAGACTAAATATCAGACTAAGTTGTAATAAAGATGAATGTTTAGTATGACTCATTTTATTTTAAAGAAAAAAATCTGTTTGCTTTAATGTATTTGTATAAATTTATTAAAATGAATGATATACTTAAACATTTAACAGTTACAATGAGAACTGAAAGTGCAAATGAAAGAAAATTATCCTAATTATTAATCTCAAGAAAGTTACCTTTTTATCTTTATCAGTTTTTTTTCCCCCTGCAGTCCTGGGGCTTGAACTCAAGCCTTGGCACTGTCCTGAGCTTCTTTTTTTTTGTTTTTGTTCAAGGCTAGCACTCTACCACTTGAGCCACAGTACCACTTCTGGCCTTTTCTGTTTTTGTGGTACTGAGGATTCAAACCCAGGGCTTCATACATGCCAGGGAAGCACTACTAAGCCACATTCCAAGCCCTCTTTTATCAGTATTTAAAAATAATTTTAGGACTAAAGCCACATACTCTCTTTTACCCATTTGTTCATATTCTTTTGAATAGTCATTTTACTAAGTAAGACCCTGGCCAACAAAGAAAAATGCTAGTGATTGCCTTAAAGAGTGTTAGTATTGAGGGATAGGCAGATACATACTTAATTTCAAATAATGTTTTAGAGGGTATATTAGAAAGTCTTTAAAGAAAAGCCAGGCAATAGGGAAGTCTGAATGACATTAAAGGCATAAGGGAACACTTTGGCCCCAAATTGCTACTCTAAAATGTGTCAGAGTAAGAAACAGCAGAAGTAGTGTTTATTGGACACAAAAGGGATAAGGCTGGAAAATGGGCAGGGCCAGATTGCAGAAAGAAAGCCTTTGTATGCTACTAAGACAATCAACTATGCTGCTAAGACAGCAACTGAAAGATCTGAAGCAAAAGAAGTTTAGTTGATTAAAAAAAATAATATAAGGGGCTGGGAATGTGGCTTAGTGGTAGAGTGCTTGCCTAGCATGCATGAAACCCTAGGATTGATTTCTAAGTACCACATAGGCAGAAAAAAGGCAGAAGTGGTGCTGTGGCTCAAGTGGTAGAGTGCTAGCCTTGAGCAAAAGCTCAGGGACAGTGCCCAGACCCTAAGTTCAAGCCCTTGGACTAGCAAATCACCATCATCATCATCATCATCTGGAACCTGGAGGTTGAGGGGGTAGGGGGGCTAAAGAGACATGATTTGAGGTAGAGAATTAGCTTTATACTACAAACCTTTTTAGAGCATCTTAATGGGAGTATTACATGACTTTTTATTCCATCTCTCCTCCTAATTACATTACAGATTAGGGTGTTCTTACAACCTTCCAGGAACCTCCAGGCCTCACCCCTGGCTCTATCACAGCCTTTTTAAAGCTTTATTTATAATCACTAACATTGTCCCTCCCATTTGTTTGACTACAGCTCTTATCCAGTTTGGAAACTAAAGCAATTCAAGATACAGTTTCACAGTATTCACTAGTTGTTGTTTTTTTTGAGGGGGGTGGGGACACTGCTTTACTTTCTGGAGTGTCAGACTATACAAGTGTCTAGATGATGTCTCTTCCTGGATGTCATTTAAGAGTTCCAAACAAAACTAACCCCAATGTGTCTGAGTGGCTTTCGTATATACTGCCAAACCAGTTATGCTTCCAGTTCATGTTTATTTACTTTTGCATTTGCTCAAATCTGGAGCCATCAATGCTCAGGTCTCTCCTATGCCTCACTAAATCTCCATTTAACTACCAGGGTTATTATACTAAGGCAGATGTAGGATCGCTTTCATTTCCTAATCTGTAAGTAGCTGGAAACGCCACAAATATCATGCCCAGCGTCATCCACGACTATATCCCGGGGTGCACGATTCTGGCTTATAGCTGGCACTCAACTCTCACGAACGAATGCTTCTTGGGGAAAGGCTTCACTTTATGGAGAGTGAGGCTAAAGCGAGACAATGGAGTCCAAGTCACCTCCCAAATGCTAGGCCTCACAACGTCGCCCAGGCGTTCCTGAGTGCCGGTCGGCTCCCACTCGGGGCCACCGCCGTCATCTCCCTTCACCGGACCTGCCGAGCACAAGACGGCGCTCCCCGCGGTTTTCGTGTAACCCGCCCCGTCTAACCAAGCGTCCGTCAACATCCCCGCAGGTTTGGGGCCGTGCCCGCCCAAAGGCGCGTCCCGGAGGCCGAGGTAGACAGGGCGCACGGGGGATTCGAACCTGGGGCCTCCCGCGTGCCCGGCGAGGGCTCTTCCCAAATCTCCTCCTCCCTTCCCCACCGAATGTAACGCAGACATGGAGGAGAGCACAAGTCACGACCGCGTCAGTCTCCGCACATAAACACACGCGAAACCGGCAAAAGGCGCCTCTTACCGATGAACCTGAAGCGACTCATGACGGCGGCGCGGGCTCCTCCCCGGCGGAAGCGGAAGCGGCGGGCCCTCCAGGCCCTTCCCGCCACTCGCCCCACCTTTCCGGCCGTCCGCCCCGCCCACTCCCCCAGCAGTCCCTGCGGCCGCCGCAGGAGCGTCCGGCCGCGGCCATGGCGTCCTGCGCGCCGTCGGCCTACCTGACCCACCAGCAGAAGGTGCTGCGGCTTTACAAGCGGGCGCTGCGGCACCTGGAGTCGTGGTGTATCCACAGGTAGGAGAAGGGGACCCGGGGTTCGGGCGGCGAGGTGGAGGCCGAAAGGCCTGGAGGGAACCAGGCCGCCCAAGGGCATCGGGGACGCCGAGGGACGGTCATCACTGCCCCTCAGGACCCGCCCCTGGACCCGGGTTCGAATCTAGACTTCCCCGCCCGTGGCTGCTGGACCTCGGGACACACCTCGGGATATGAGGTGTAGGCCACACGTGCATTCATTTTCCATGCAGTACAATCTACGCAAGGCCCAGCCCTGCGGGTTCCGTGATTACATAAAGTAAGGAAAGGGGGGGGGTCCCGCGCTCACGGAAGAACGCTTTCTTCTCGATCCTGCCTAATACTTACAGTGACAGTGGGTACATTCTTCCTTTTCTTAGACCGCAGGACAATTCAGGAGTTAGGGATTATCTTAGCTTTATTTTACGGATGACCACACTGAAGCATAGCACACAGTCGGGATTAAAATCTAAGTATCCAGGGGAAAGAACCCCAAGGCGCAATGCCTCTGTGCCTCTGAACATTTAATATTTATTAAAATGGAAAAAAATTAAATATCCATCTCTAGTGCATCCTCATCGCTCCCTCTCCCCTTGGCTTTTCTCAATTTTAGCTTCATCTAGTCCTCCTTATTACCTTTGCATCTTTTTCCCCTTCCCCCACAACTCTCTATCCTCGGGAGACTTGTCTTAGAATGTGGTCTTAAAATACGTAGATTTCCGTGGCCTAAATGCAGTGTAAAATAACAGTGACAACCCAGAATCTTAAAACTTAATTCCAGTCAAAGGGCTTTTGAGGAAAAAAAAAAACAAAACGTGGAAAGCTGAGACCTGGAAGAGTTGGAGAGGGTACCCTTAAAGCCCAGGATGCAACTTGGTAATCATACTTCTCTTTGCTAGTCAGGAAGATGACAGGTAAAAGGTTGTACAGTTGTGGGTTTCTTCCCTGAATTTTTTTTTTTAATTTGCCTACATGGATGACAGGATTTGCAGTTCAGTTTCTATACTGGATGCCAAATAAGTAAAAGTCAATGGATATGTGGGTGCGGTGGACATGTATACTAATAGATAAGGAGAATTATTAATCTTACAAAGGAAGTTAATCCATTATGGATTCAAAAATGCTACATCTGGGAATATTAAAACAATAATCCAAGAAGAAATGTTAAAACTAGTTACTATGAGTACAATGGCACAAAATTCTTGTCTCCTCGATAACATTCTCAGCCATTGCTTGAATTTCTGCCACCTTCCTAGAGCTGTTCTCTGTGGTTCCCCAAGGCTCTCTGTAATGCTGTGTGTACTAGAGGCACTCCCTTTCAATACTGGGACTTGAGTTAACCATCTTTGCTCCATTTGCCTGTAGAGCTATATTTCCCATTTGTTAGATCATTGACTCTTCTCTAACACATTATCTAAATTCCATTAAACCAAACTCAACCTTTTCTCTCCTCCATTCTGACTCTAGATTTTTTTTTGCATAGCATAATGGTATTATTAGTAATTCAAACATTAAGCTCTAACCCAGAATTGTTCTCAAAGATGTAGTAGTTACTCTCTGTGCATAAAGCCATGTGTACCCAGGTGGCTCACACCTGTAATCCTAACTACTCAAGAGGCTGAGATCTAAGGATCACTGTTTCAAGCCAGCCTGGAGAGGAAAGCCCATGACTTTTCTCTCCAATTAACCAGCAAAAAGCCAGAAGTGGAACTGTGATTCAATTGGTAGAACATCAGCCTATAGCAAAAGGCCAAGGGACAGTGCCTTGAGTTCAATGTTCAGTGTGGGCACAAAACAAGTCATGTTTTTTTCAAAGTTTTCCATCCCATAATTATAATAATTACATAATTTAGCCTTTGCAATATATCAGGTACTGGTATGAAATGTGTTTTGTGTTTTAGAACGTCGAGTCTTGATGACAACCTTAGGATGGAGGCACCGTTACTAACATAAAGAAAAGGAGCCCGTGATCTAGAGAAATTAACTTACTATGAGCTAGTGGTAGAAGAGCTAAGATAGAACCCACCTCATAACTTAGTAGGTCTAAATATTTTCTCATGTATCCTGCCACTGCTATACTAGCTGTCTTTGTGCCTAGTCATCTGTGACCTGGACAGTTGCCAAAGCTTCCTAAGTTAGGTCTGCCCACAGTTTCTTCAGGACCAGACTGTAATTTGACTAAGGTGGAGCTGGTAGCATCAGAATCAGGATTCAAACTCAATTCTGTATGACTAGAGCAAAACTGTCCACAGTGTTCCTCCTCCCTTGTTATTCATCTTTGTGTCCCCAGAATTTAGCACAGTACAAAATGACTGAATGTTGAATGAACCTGCAGAAGCGATAGCTTTTCTCTTTTACTAGTTCTTTCTCTTTCTCTTTTTAAGTCATCATTCCTTCATTGTAGTATAGGGAGTTATTATTTTGCTGCTGTTTGGAAAGCTGCAGAACAAGCATTATAATGATGTGGCCTCTCTGTTTCACATTTATGGGGGGGGGCAGCAGAAAGTTGCGCTGCTCATCTAGGTGGCATTAGTGGGAACTTGGCTCCTGTCAGCCTAGGCACTGGCCACTTGAATAGATAACATTGCTGATCTCCCACAATCATTTGCCTTAAGGGAAAAATACCGGTACTTTGCTTGTTTGCTGAGAGCCCGGTTTGAAGAACATCGGAATGAAAAGGATATGATGAGGGCCACACAGCTGCTGAGGGAGGCGGAAGAAGAATTCTGGCAAAATCAGCACCCACAGCCATATATCTTCCCTGACTCCCCAGGGGGCACCTCCTACGAGAGATATGAGTGCTACAAGGTAGGTGAGGACTGCAGTGGCCACTCTTCCATAGGCAGACTGTGTGTCTCGGTCCAGACCTCAGCCTTGTATCCTTCACCCTTTGTGGGGTGACTAGATTTCTTTTCCTCACAGTTGACATACTGTTATTTCAGGCATCAGCTTTCGCTCAGATACCATTAAGACTTTTCTCCTTAAATTCATCTTTGAGATTTTGTACTGTAGTATTTTTGGCAAAGCAAACTGCTAAATTACTTAGTAACTCATTTGGAGACTTTAAAAATAATCAAGTTGTGTTGGTACTTGGTATTTCTTGAGAAACTTGCTACTTCCAAGTAACAGAAAACCACTCCTTGTGTTTAGAAAACACAGGTGGAGAGGAACGATCCCAGCTGTCTCTGTTCTGTCATTTTACATCTGTAGAATCATTCACTTTAAGGCATTCTTCATCTTCGGTCCCGGCTTATTATCCTCTCTGACTCCTTAGTCAGAGTTAGGAACAATCCGATAGTTGCAGTAGTTATAAAAATACAACTTGATTTTTGACTTCCATCTCCTGAGCAGATCTGTCAGTGGTATATAAAGGAATACTGTGGACTGACCCCATGATTTGCTCTTGTGGCAGGTTCCAGAATGGTGCTTAGATTACTGGCATCCTTCGGAGAAAGCAATGTATCCTGATTACTTTGCCAAGAGAGAGAAATGGAATAAACTACGGAGGGAAAGCTGGGATCGAGAGGTACGTCTTTCTGTCCTTGCTGTTCACTGTAGAGCTCAGTGAGATCCTGCCCATGTGCTGAGGTCCAGGTCCTGCCCTGGCAGGTGCTTGGCTCCTTACCAGAATTAGTGTGTGTTCAATTTAATATTGCCCATCTTAAAAAAAGTCAGTGAAAAGGTGTTCCCTGATTGTTTGGACTTTTCTGTTCTCTCATTTGCTTCTTATCTCCTTCTTAGTCCTTTGCCTGACCTTCATGTACCTTAATATTCCTTAGAAGCCTTGGGTCGTTTTAGTCATCTTAATAGCTCATTCTGACTATGGTGTGAAGAAATAAGTTGGAGACAGCAGGAGGAAAAGTAGCAAGTGAAGTCTGTGGTCACTGTGACTAGCAATAGGGTCGAAGATGTGGAAGCAAATAACCTGCAGCATGTCATTAGCATGTGAAGTTTGGAAGGGAGGGGTCCCCGTGAGGGATAGCAAGGAACCAAAAATGGTTTCCAGGTTGTCGGCTTCCATGTGAGGAGTTCGGTGGTAGTGGTTGGGATAGGGAGTCCTGCAAGGGCGGGGGGGGTGTTGAGGGGTGGCAGCAAGTGTCAGATACAGTGAAATGAAATGTTGGAGGATCCTGTCAGCAAGTGCAGTGGCCACGGTCAGCACTGGGTGTAGGAATCTGGTGTCGAAATAGACATATGTGCGTTTTCAGTTGTTTTTAAAACCACAAAAATGAATGCAATCCTCCATATAGTAGAGAGAGAAGAAAAGGAGAAGGGATTTTCCTCCTTAATGGAAGACAGCAGATGTATATGAATGCATTCGGGCTGGAGGTGTGTGACCACTTGTTTTGTTGTCGATATTGTTGTTCAGCATACATTAATTGTATGGGGGGGGATAACATTGTATTTCCACGAGTATGCAAATTAACTTCGAGTTTTAATGAACTCAGAGAAGCTGATGTAGGTGGGCACCGCCTGTATGAAGAATGTGGAAAGTGTTAGCTGAGGAGAGCATGAGCTTGCTTGAGAAAACTAGGTTGCTAGGCAATGGTGAAGGCCCTATTAGAGATTGACTGATTAATGTGGAATAGCTCCCATTTCTTTCAGTATTTTTTTTTCCTCTTTAGCAATACTGAAGTGTTTGGATGCAGGGTTAAAGATGGATGGCCCAGTTTGTCCAGAGTAACAGAGAACTTAAGGTTATTCAAAAGGGAGTGATTGTCTGACTGGATAAAGAAAAGAAATAATACCACCCTGTGTAGTGCATACTTGTAATCCCAGCATTCAGGAAGCTGAGGGAGAATGACAAGCTTGAGGCAACCTGGCTACATGGAAAGACCTTGTCTAAATATTAGGCATGGTGGTTCCTGCCTGTAATACCAAGCTAGCTGAGAGGCTGAGACACTGAGATCAGAGGGATTGACATTTGAAGCCAAACAAGATACCCCATCTCAACACATAAAAACCCTATGTGAAAATAACAAAAACAAGCTGGGCAACGGTGGCTCACACCGTAATCCTAGCTACTCAGGAGGCTGAGATCTGAGGATGGAGGTTCAAAGCCAGCTCTGGCAGGAAAGGCCGTGAAACTCTTATCTATAATAAACCACCATAAAACTAGAAACGGTGCTGTAGCTCAAGTGGTAGAGCGCTTGCCTTGAGCTGAAGAGCTGAGGGACAGCACTCAGGCCCAGAGTTCAAGGCCCATGACTGACCAAAAAAAAAAGAAAAGAAAACAAAAAGAGCTGGAGGCCTAGCAAGCTAGGCCCTGAGTTCAAACACCAGTACAGAGAGAGGGTGAGGGAGAGGGTAAGAAAAAGGGAGAGGGAGAGAGAAAGTAATAGCCAGGGGGCATGGAAGCAAATGAGCGGGAAGGCTGGCAGACATTGGATAATGGGGTGTCTGAACTCCTAAATGGGGAAGGCATGCCTGGTAAAGGGATAAGGTCCAGGATGTTGGCTGCTGGAAATCTCTGGCCAAGGTGTAATAGAAGAAAGGTCACTGTGGCCAGGGGAGCCGTGTTTTGTAAGAAGTGGTACAACCTCTTGAAGTTTCAAGTGGGTTTTTCACTCCACAGCTGGTCACTGGTGACCTCTGCCCTCTGAAGCCTTCCTGTCCTCTTCACTACTGTCAGCCAGCACCGTGTGTAGAGGGAACGTCAGCTTTTTTAGGTATCCTGTTAGGGATGTTAGGGAATTTCTAGAAGTGATGATGGCTGGGCCAGGTAGAATTGAGTGCCTTTTCCTGTGTGATTTCCTGTTGCTTCTTGCCCTAGCTGCTGTAGGGGTACTTACAGTTAGCATCCCTAACATTTATGAGCTGAGGTTTCATGAAGAGTATTGAGTTGAGATACAAAAATGTTTTTCTGGGGGGACCAGTAAAGTTCCAGGGGAACTGGAAATGTAATTGCCATGTTTTCGTTTAAAGATTAAGAGGGAGGAGAGTTCCCACTTTGCTGCTTTAAAAAAGGAAAAAGCGGATAGGCGCTGATGGCTCACACCTTCAATCCTAGCTGTTTAGGATGCTGAGATCTGAGGATCATGGTTCAAAGCCAGCCTTGGCAGGAAAACTCTTATCTACAATAAATTACTCAGAAAAAGCCAAAAGAGGTGCTATGGCTCAAGTGCTAGAGCACTAGGTTTGAGCAAAAGCAGTTCAGGTCCAGCGCCCAGGCCCTGAGTTCAAGTTCCAGGACCAGCAAAAAAAAAAAAGGAAAAAGCTTTCCTGTGGGAGTAATTCAAATACACAAAAATGTATGTAGTGAGCTTCCTGTGGGAGCTGACATGCACGGCAGTGGCAGAGGGGGTTGGGGGGGGTGGGGGTTGTTGGGGCTCACACTCCCTCCGTGTTCCTTCCCCGCCCCCCTTCTAGGTCAAGCAGCTGCAGGAGGAAACACCACCTGGTGGTCCTAAGACTGAAGCCTTGCCTCCGGCCAGAAAGGAAGGCGACTTGCCTCCACTGTGGTGGCACATCGTGACCAGACCTCGGGACCGGCCCGTGTAGACACATGCTCTTTCTGCTAGCAAGTGACAACGGAAAGTATGTTGGCACACATACACTTGCCCTAATAAAAACGTTGAATGTGGTCTGCCAAGCTTGTGCTGTCCTTCTGTCATGTGACTGCTTGTGTCTGTGGTATTACCATGTATACCAGGTAAAGAAAACCAGTCACATGTCATAATATTAATAGCACATGTGGTCAGTAAGGGAAAAGTAGCCAAATCAGGTAAGAAATTAACTCAGAAGCCAGAGCTGAGCAAATGTTAGGTTGAAGGCTTAGTACCACAATACTGAATAGACAAAGCTGAGAAGGGAAAGTGAGGGCTTGGAGCCCCTCTTTGGTTTCCTAATCATTGCATTAATGGGATTTTAGTTTTTACGAAAAGAGCAGGTGATGGCTGGACACTGGTGGCTCACATCTCTCAGGAGGCTGAGATCTGGGGATTGTGGTTCAAAGTCAGGCCGGGCAGGAAAGTCTGTGAGACTCTTATCTCCAATAAACCACTAGGAAACTGGAAGTGGCTCTGTGGCTCAAGAGGTAGAGCACTAGCCTTGAGCTAAAGAGCTGAGGGACAGTGCCCAGGCCCAGAGTTCAAGTCCCACGACCAACCAGAAATAGAAAAGAGCAGGTGGTCTGAGAGGCAGCACATCCATAGTCACCAGTAGGTGGCGCTTATGATAGTGAGGAGGTAGAGAATGGAAGTTGGCTAGCTGGGGCTAAAAGGGAATAAAGTTGGTGACCCGACTTTGGATATAGTTGTCCAGTTGTGTTACTTCCACGGTAGCCAGACTGTTCACAGACATAGAGGTAGCGTGTGACAGAACTCACAGTGATCCAGTAAGGGTTTACTTTGGGTTTTTTTTTTTTAAAGGTAAGACATTGTAAAACTGTCACCAAAATCAGCTGTCTTTTTCCCTTTATTTATTGTTAATGATTAGATCAGGCAGTGCTTGTTCCCGGAGCTGATGAGCATCATAAAACATTTTGTTAGTTCTGTCTAAATAAGCTCAGTCTGAGTCTCAATCCCACTTCTGATTTTAATAAAGACTTGAAATAAGGGGCTTTTTTTTTCTTTCTAGTGGTCTTTATTTATAATGTAGGCAGAAGCAATTGTTACAATGTAGAAGGGAGACACATCACGCAAGTGTTATTTATACAAGTGTAGAACGAAAACCTGCCCAGGAGAGGTCCACTCTCAGTACAGACTAGCAACTAAAACCACAGTAATTTACCTTTAGAAAGGATTTCTTTATTTTTCAGCTGTGACACTGCTTTTACAATATGCAAAAACACAAACAGAGCTACCCAAGGTGTTTTGTCACATTTCTTTCTACATTGGAATTGGCAACATTTTATATTAAATTTATTCAGATTATACTAACGTTTAAAAACTAAACGAGTGAGAAGCTGTACCAAGGTACAGTTACATCCATTTATTTCCAAGGTTTAAAATATCATTTTTATCTATTGTAATTACCTTGTAATGATTTCTGCATTTGCAGAAAGCATCTCGAGCATCATATGCACAATGCATCAGCTACTTTTAGTCATCAAGATTGGTGGGCTACACCACAGGCACTACTGCTGCTTCCAGTCTGCAGAAGGAGCTTGTTTTTCAAAGAAAAAAAGCTTAGTTTCTAATCATCATGCCTTTGCTTTAAAGCCATAACATAAAATGTCCTTGAGCAATCACAGCAGTGTTAAATGTTAATATATAGAACAATGACTGTACAGAACATTACTCACATCCAATGTGGTTAAGTATTAAAGCATAAGATTATGTCACAAGATTAGCACCAACAGAAATCTGTAGGCATGGGGACCCATCGCGGTCTTCCTGGAGAGGCTTACGCACAAATGTGCAGTCAGTTGCCTCACTGCTAAAGGACTTGCTCCTTTATACAGCTGTCTCCAAATGTAGTCCCTTCAAGGCTACAAATCTCTGTTGACTTTAAGGGATGGGCATTATAACAAATTTAACTTCCAGTTAACAAATGTCAAATCCATTCCAAATAAACAGCCTAGAATACAAAAGGAAAAAAAAAAGACAGTATAGTGGTCAGATTCCCAGTGATAATAAATAAATCCTCTTCAGTGTTTAGTAGGAAGCCAATTGACTGCCATTGATGGGAGGAAGATAAGAAAAACAAGCCCCAGATTGGTAAACACATTGGCAAACTGCTAGACTTGAGCTGGTTGTAAAATATACTTGGAGTTTCTTCAAAATAATCTGGGCTTCCCAAGCACCCAGCCTGCTGGGCACAGTTTAGTAAAAGGCATTTGTTCTAAAGATTCCCTGCTATCACTTTTTAAATGTTTTCATACTTTATAAATTGCCTTACCCTTTTAGATGCATTTGGACTCCATGGAAGTGAGTACATAGACTAGAAGCTAAGTGGGAAAGGATTCTCCACGTACCCGTGATGGCAGCATGCGTGGGACTGGAGTGGGTGCTGTGTGCAGTCAAGAGGAATGGTGGGAGAAAGGAAGTCCTTAAACACCCTACAGAAACAAACACTGCAATCCAGTATGGCTTATTCGGATGCATTTACCATGAAGCTACTAGAAATTCAACCTACCAGGCTACTCTTAAATGTAAAAACAGATCGGCTATGTTGACAGTGTGCCCCTCCCACAGCCCTCCCCCCCCCCCCCAGACCATCTACCATTTCCAGAGTTCTCTCAATATTGCTCATCAATGGTTCACTCCTGCATTTCCCAACCAGAACATAGTACATTTCACTGAGGATTTTTATCCCTTATCCATTTTGTTTGTACATTAAAATAACTTGATTTTGCTCCTAAACTAGACTACTACAATGCATCTACAAAAGCTTGCAGGGAGAAAAAAAAAAGTATAGTAATCCTTTTCTGAAATTAACTACTTTGTGGTTCCCCCCCCCCCCCCCGCCCTCCCCACCATATGCATTTAAAATTTTACAAAGACTTATAAAAAAGTTAAATGGAATTTGGCACCTTCAGAAAAAATCAAAAGGGAAAAACTAAGATTCAAATGTGCAGAAAGAAAATGCTCAATATTTACAAATCAAAGATCAAGGTTATGTCAGTTACATGTGTTGCTTTTCATTCTTATCTAAAGATGTTGAGTACTTTTCAAAAGAGCTGAATTCTGAGTTGCCTACAAAATTTTTTTTTTGTTTGATTATACATTGGAATGGATTGAGACAAATTAGGTTTTATCAAAGAGTTTGTTCCCCGGGGCAGTATTTCCTGGGAGCCTAGGAGATCTAGGAGAGGCGTGGGGCTGATCGATCATTGGTTGTGGTCTTCTTCAGCTTCACACCCCTTCGGATGGCGTTCAGCATGTCTTCTCCTTGGGGAGCATCTCTTGGGCTCAGGTCTGCAGGGTCGCTCTCCGGACTCCGGCCTGGGGAGACAGTGGCACTCGGGGGATCCCGCTCCTGATCTTCAGCTTCACTCTCTGGAATCGCCTGTCTGTGCTCCTCCGGGATACTGGGCTTCGGGCCTGGAAGTGGAGGGTTGATGGAGGCTTGCCCACTCCACATGGAGGAGGGAATATTGGTAGTACCCGGGGAGCCCTCACCCACAGAAGGAGACTCGGGGCTGCGCTCACCCCGCTCCTCTGGCCCATCTGGCGTGGCTGGCAGGACCCCGGGCAGGTCTGGGACAGTGGGGGTTTTGACAGGGATCACTGGTGTTTTGATGGGAATGGGACCCGCGCCAATGGTCCCCCGGCGGACAGAAGGCTTGGTGGAAGGGGTCCGTCGGATGGTTGCAACCCCTGGGGTGACCATAGCAGGTCCTAGGGTGGTGGGAAGGCCAGCGGTGGAGGCTGGGCGCTTGGCTTGGAACATCCGCCGGTAGGACTGGCTGATGTCACTGTTTCTTGGAATGGTGGAGGATTTGTCAAAGTCCTGCTGCTCCGCCTCCTGGTCACCACTTACGGAGAAGTAATCGTAATCTGAAACTGAGTATAGCATCTGATTAGACAGATGCCAGGGAGCAGTTCCAATCTGATTCTGTGCTGAGAGGGAAAAGGCACACAAGGCAGGGGTACACACATGTTCTCATCCTGGTCCCCCAACACTGCTGGAGTATTTCACCAAGAACTCCCCAACAGGGACCTTTATTCATGTGTGTACCTGGGCACCTACAACAGCACAGAGCACTGTAATAGCCATGGAGAAGCTGTTAGGATGGAGAGAGGGTGTGAAACTGCCAGGCTGCAGCAAACCATCTCCCAAATGTCCAGGAGGAATGAGGGGGATGAAAGAGGAGAGGTATCTGTCCACATCCTCAGGGCTTAATGGGACATGAGAAACAAACCTCAAGTAGGCTAGCACTGCCTTAACATCTCCCTGATAACTGGGTAGACTGAGGCTAGAAAAAGAATGGAGCTGGCTGGGTGTAGTGGCTCTGGACTGTACTCCTAGCGGGTGTGTGTGTTGGGGCGGGGGGGGGGGGGATTGAGAGGTTCAAGTTCAAGGCCAGCACAATCATAAAAGTTTGTGGATCTTCATCAATAAATAGAATCACAATCCAGACTGGCCTGGGCATAAAATGAAACCCTATCTTGAAAATAAGCAAACCCAAAAAAAGGGTTTGGGGTATAGCTCAAGTGGTAGAGTGTCCACGTAGCAAGCATAGGACCTCCAATTCAAACTAAAAAAAAAAAAAGCAAAACACCAGTGGAGCTACTGGCAGAATGTAGACTGAAAATTAAAAAGCAAAGTCTAAAGTGCTTTTCACAAAATGTCAAAACAAAAATGAAGGTGTTATAAATGGCAGATATCCCTCAGCTCATTTCAGAACCACCATGCAACCCCGGTGAAAATGAGAAAAGGGGCTAAAATCCAGGCCCCCTTCTCCTGAGGCAGTTTCCTGACCACCCCAATCACCTCTCCAAAGCCTTCCCAGATGACCCAACAGTCCTGAAGCCAGTCTGCCGGCCAGGGGCAGGGCTGTGTGTGTTTATAATGGCTGCTGGCTTGCGGCTGCCAATAGGGGTAAGGAGTGCCTGTGATCCCAACTGCCAGGCTGGGCATCCGCACCTTGGGAGGGAATGGTGTCCTCGGAGCAGCATGGGGTGGTCGTCTGAGTGCTGTAGCCGCTGGAGCACTGCAGCGAGTCCCGGCTGCTCCTCTGAGTGTCCAGCTGCAGGCCCCGCGACAGGGCAAGCGCCAGCTCCTCACACGCTTCCATCTCTTCACCAGGCTGCAGGGTGGAGGAGAGAGAGGGACAGGACGTGAGAGCCGGAAACCTCACACCACGGCCTCAGCTGTCCACACACGGCTCTGGGTTGGGGTCCTGCTATCACTCTTGTTCTGTTCCTGCAAAAATGATACCTCTGTAGGCCTGGAGCACTACTGACTTGCTTATATCCTATCCGGGTTCTAGAAAGTTCTGCCTGTCTGATTCCCATACAAAGCTTTTCCCTGGAGGACTTCTGAGTAAGGGGTCCAGTCCAGCTCCCCTAAGCTGTAAGCTGGGCCCCCAGTATCTGGCCCCCAGTATCTGGCCAGCAGCCCCCCTCCCCCCCGGCAGGCTAGGTGGATCCAACGAGTAAAAAAGAACAAGAGTGTCACCCTAGTGGCCGCCGACACGGTCATGCTACGCGGTCTCTGCGCCTCCTCCACAGCTGCCGCGGGGCCTCCTGCAGTAGAGGGTCCTCCCCCGCTGGGGTCCGGCTCCCGCTTCTCTTTGCGCCGCTGGAGGGTATTCACCATTGGCTGGTCATAGGGTCCTGGCTTAGCCCAGTCCTAAGCAGAACAGTGCAGTCAGGAGCCCAAGCCCTGTCCCCGAGCTCCCCTCAAACAGCTGCCCACAGAAGGCAGCTGGTTCTTGGGGATGCCCTCTTTACCCACCCACGCCCGCCACCCAGCTCCAAAAGGCAGGAATGGAATGCCCTCTGGGGGGCCCTAGGTGCCTCTCTTTTTCTCAGCTCCCCAAAGATGAAAAACCCTCAACAATCAGGCTGGTAACAAGAGTGGCTTAGTCAACAGCTACGTAACAGGTGGCTAAGGCAGCCACCAAGGGAGAGCTGTCCCTAGGGGCCAGGGCTGGCCTTCTGTGTGGAAACCCGAACCATCTCACCAGCAACGGGAATGAGTGGGATGGGAGGAGGGCCGCCAGGGCCAGCTGAGCCACGCCAGCCGCTCCCTACAGCTGACTCCACCTTGGAGAAAGTGAGCATCGAGAGGCAGGCTAGAGGCCTGGGGCAGCAAGGGAGAGCTCCCGGGGTCCTGCCCAGACTCTGAAGGTATCTGAGCAAGTCAAACCCGGCTCTGAAGGCTCTCAATGCTGGAAACCTAGTGGCCCACTTGGCAAATTAGGGACCTCTCAAATGAAGCAGAAGAGCCCAGGGCATCAACAGAACTCACTAGGAGAGCATTTGAAAACCTTGTTTTGATAGGAAAGCCAGCATGTGTCAACATAAAGTTACCAAAACAAAAAAAGAAAGTCTTCCTATACTTTCAGGAGAAAACATGACAGTCCATTTACATACTGGGCTGTGATTCTGTGACCCCCCCCCCCCAGCAGAAGACTCACTGGAGGACAAGTCTGAGCTGCATGGCTGAGTAGAACACTCTAGATAAAACTAACCAGCCAGGAGGCCCAGACCAAGAAACCCAGCAGGCTTCATCCAATCCTTCCAGGAAGAAGTGCGGGGGGGGGGGGGCTTCCCTGGGAGCTCAGACTCCCTCCCTGCAAGGCAGGGGGGATCTGGAGCTCAAACGAAAGAAAAACTTGCCAGTCTCCACTCCATGTGGAAACCGCCATGTCGGAGCTACAAGCTACTTTTTGGCTTCTTCAGTGGGAATTTACTGAGGGAGAGGAGTTATGGAGAAGGCAGAGTGTGAAAGGAGGTGGAGGGAAGAGTCCAAGGGAACACGGCGGAACAGAAGAAAGGTGAGCACAGAGCCAATGAGGGGCAGAGAAGGGGGAGGGAGGGAGGAGAGACACAAACCTTCCAGCTAGGGATCTGAGATGACGGGAACATGCCGGGCCCAATGGTGTAATAATGAGCGCAGTCTGGAAGGTGGAGAGAGGTGACCCGAGGGAGCAGACGGGAGGCAGGCAGGCAATGGGGGAAAGCGCCTGCACCCACGGGCCCTATATGGGACTCACTTGATAAACTAAAGTGAGAAAACCCATTAGACAACTGGAAACGAAACAAACAAAAAGGGGGAAGAAAAGGAAAAAAAAATTAATACAACAGGATGAGTGTGGAGACATAAGATGGCACTGACATTTGGGGCGAGGGGGTGGGGGAACCCCTGAATAGTCACAAAGGAAACAAACGCTGGGGCTCTGATCGGAGATGGTCCATGATGCACGAGAAAAAAGCTGGAGTACAAAGAATGCACACAGACTTCGCACCAAGTAGAGAGTCTGTCGCTATCTGACCTGTGCTTTAGGAGAGTTTAGACACAGACCGGCAGCCTCAATTTTTGCAGTGTTTCTTGGTGGCTTTTTTTTTTTCTTGCATTATTTCCCAAAGCATAATTTTGCGGTGATAGGAATCTGCTTGTCTCGTTGTGCAAATTAAAAAACTCAGAAGCTTCTCAGAATGAACCGGTTTACCCCAGTTTCATCAAATGAAGCTTCTTCAAATCAACGGGCTCACCCCAAATCATTACACCGTTTAGAAGCAGATTCCAATCAAGGGCAGGGGGTGGTGGTCGCAAACTAAAAGGCAGATAAAGCACACAGCTTCTAACACAAGTGAAATGTCACATCCAACAGTCTTGTGGGACACTTGGGAAGGGAAAGGGAGAATGGATCTGTTCTGGACGAAGCCTTCACACCTCCACGTTCCCCGTACCCCTTCCTCTCCCTCGGTTTAAATACCCAGGCCACTGTTTACCAGCCAGAAGCTCATTCAAGAAAAAGCCCTCATGTGGCCCATTTCCACCCTCTGTCCTTCATCTAGGCGGTTCTGAGTTTCCACACTCCTATGGCTATGAGAGCCCACGGTGTGGGCAGCAGGAGAGGGGAGGGGAGAGCAGCAGTGGCCCAGGAGGCTGCGAGCCCTGCTGATCCGTCACCTTCTCTGTGGACACCCAGGCGCCCATGGTGGAGCCTGAGCTGACAGAGGTGGGGGAGCTGCACTCGCTCACTGACTGGCAGGTTTCCGAGGCTTCGGAGGAGGCCGAGCTGGATGAGTTCTGCAGCAGGGGAGGGAGCACACGAGGGGACCAACAAACCAAACCACACACCACCAAAAATCATCATAAATTAAAAAAAAAGGATGGGAGAGGGAAGGGCATGCAGGGTGGGGGAGGGAGGGGAGACAGACATATACACAGAAGAAGGGAAGGATGAGAGAAGCAGAGGGTTAGGGTTATTTTGTCCCAAAGTTGTATGCACACAGAGCTTCCAAGCCCTTGAAAAGCATGATCATACTCCACAAGCCCTAGACCGGTGGACTGTAGGTGCCCAGGATATTGTGTGTGCTTGGCACAGAAGCATCTTCTCAAGGCCCTGCTTCCTGTTCATATGCTGCAAGCCTGGCTGGCCTGTCCAGTCTCTTACATGTGCAAGTATTTTAGGAATTGCATGAAGCTCAGATCGGGCATCTGCTGCCCATCTATCTAGACTGGCTAGAGTTTCATGTGCAGCCTCTTAGCCTCTCCAGACTTGAAAAACACATATGAGGGGCTACTGCTGGAGTGTTGTGGGAATTGGAGCCGGCATCCTTGTGATTAGTGCAGTGCTTCTGATGGCCAGTAGAGGGCAGGGTGAAGCCTCTGGAGAGGCCCAAGTAGAGAAACTTGCCCAGCTAGCTGCTCAGTACCACACCCTGGTCCCCTCAGTCTCCTGACGGTGGGTGGGTAGGGCTTATGGGATTGGCTTCCTGGCATTCGGCCAATTAGGAATCATGATATCTTGCCTTTCTAGTCCTGGACCTGGTATGTTCCACAGGGGATAAGCACCAATGGCTATTTTCTGGCCATCTGGGTCTCCTGACTGCCACTCTGAGCACCCAGCCACTTGTTTTCTGCTTGTCATTGAAACCTCTGGCTTCAACCCCGTCTGGTTTAATAAGCTGGGCCCTTCTGTGCTGAGATATCCCTGTAAGTGTTCCCAGGTCAACTGGCAAGGAGGCCAGGTCTCTGTTCTTATTCCTTTTATAAACCACAGCAGAAACCAACCACCGTTTAGCTCCCCATCCTGCAGACATGGAACAAAGCACTCAACACTGCAAAGACAGGGGACAAGCAGATGGCCATCCTCACTGGCCCCTAAGCTTGGTGTTTGCTGAGCAGCCTGGGATCTGTAGTTGGAGGATTTGGATGTAAGTTCAATTTCTGCCACTTACTGGTTAAGGACCTGTGGTCTACACACTCCTACAGTGATCAAGAGTATCGAAGTATGTAATTTTTCTGCATTCAGGAGGTGACACCTTTGGCGAATACTGATCTGTACAATTGCTTCCATTTCCCCTGTACCGTATGGCTACAGGTAGCTATGTCTTTTTTTGGTGGGGTAAAGGGTAATACTGGGGATTGAATTTAGGGACTCATGCTTCCTAGGCTAGGGCTCTACCGCTTGAGTCACACCCCAAGTCCTTTTGCTTTGAGTTTGCTGCGCTTTTGCCCAGGCCAGCCTCATTCTATAGTTCTCCTAATTACACTTACTGAGTACCTGGGATTATAGGCACGCTTCACAACACACAACCCTGCAGTATCCATCTATCTATATCTATTATCTATAACTTGTTATTAAATTCTGCAGCATCCCTGAGCTTATTAAAACTATCCTAGGCCTAGGGATATCATTCGGTGGTAGAGCATTTGTCTAGAATGTGAGAATTCCTAATGTTCCATCTCAAGCACCAACACAAATAAAACCAAAACTGCCCTAGAGATGATAGACAAGCAGACGCAAGCCCACAGAGGTTGAAAAACCCTAAGTTGCCACCTTCTGCTTCCGCCACATTAATGGAGGAGGAAGTCTCATTCAGGGCACGTACGCAGGATATGTAGATGCACGTATGACGTGGATAGGAAGGTCAGCGCGCTTTTCTTTGTCAGAAAGGGGTGTCAGTACTCTCCACTAGGTTAATCTGCAGTCCATTAAAAGCACACACATACAATTTACACTGCACACTCGAGCAGCCTTTGAACAAATGACAGTCCGGCTCTCCTTCAGACCCTATCTGCACTCTGCTTGCGAGCCAGAAGATCGTTTAGTAAAGCACATTAACAGGAGACAGAGCCTGGCCAAAGCACCTCCACAGGGGCAAGCACATCAGAACTAGAGCGACAGCATCTGGCTCAGGGCACTTCTGTGGGAAATTGAGTCTCTAAGGAAGAGTGGGAGGGGCCACAGTCCCCCAGATGGCTGAGCAGTGCTGAAGAGCTCTTAAGCTGCGAACCTCTGGGCTCATAACATTAGGGGACAACAGGATGCTCTGGTTCCCCACCAGGGGGCACCATGGAGCACGCTAGTTGATGGCACCACACGTTCCAGCACTATGGTGCTCTTTTTACTATGTGTTAAGAAGGGATGATAGGTGCACTGGTATTAAGGAAAAGATCAGCTGGCAGGACACATGCTGATACTCATGAAGGTCATCCGATGCCCTGCCTAGCTTTTCCCTCCTGGAGTAACTGCAGCACTGCGCTGGGCTGGAAAGACCTAAACCAACTGTGAATGGAGAGGGCCTATCTCCCCTTCTCTCCAGGATCCAAGTGCCAACAGCGGTATCTGCAGGGGCTCATTCAGCACTCCCTGACGGGGACCTGCGGGCGCTGGGAAAGGGTGCTGAGTTGGTCTTCAGGGAAGGGATCTCAGCCATTCAAGGAGAACCTGAGTGCAGGGCAGCAGGGGCGCCTTATCACCACATCCCGCCGGACGGATGGCCGCCGGCCCTCCTCCGGACGGTCGACTTCTGTGGGAAAACTCCCCAAAACGCAAACAGTCCCACCGTGGTTTGGATCAATGCCCAGCTATCCCTCCCCCTGAGGAACACCTCCGAAGATGAAGGTTAAGCCAGAGGTGTTCGGAGTGAGAGCGCAGGGGGGTGACACGCCCGGGCCCTGCACTGAGGGACGTCAGGGCACCCGTACCTGGTTGGTGGCCTCGGGTGGCATAGGGGAGGGCGACTTGGACTGGAAGGCGTCCTGGGAGATGAATCCTGAGTCATGCGAGGAGACGCTAGACAGCCGCACGGGCGCCTGCTGGGCCAGGTTGGAGCTGCGGTAGCGGTAGTGTGAGCTGGGCGAATGCGAGTGGGAGCCGCTGGATCGGGAGTCGCTGCTGTTGACACTGTTCAGGCTGCTGTGGGGGGGGGGGAGGAAGTGCAGGGTGGCAGAAATGGAGGGGAGGAGTGGAGGGAAGGAGGGGAAGGGAGGGGAGGGAGTAGTGGAAAGGAAGAGGGGATGGTCAGCAAGGAGCAGAGTGAGGGAAGCACATCACATCGCGTCATCAGCTCTTTGCCCTGGAGAAGCAGCACAAACACCAGACTAGACTATGTTTGCAAAACACCAAATCCTTACGATGGTCAGTGAAACATTTTCAGGTAAGCAGTGGGAGACCAGGTCTTGGGATGTTCAAATTAACCGTCTTCAGGACGGAAGCTGATGATTCAAAAAAGTCACTGGTCCCCACCCTTGCCACGTGGCCCACCAGGAAGCTGGGAGCCTGGCATCTGTGGCAGCAGAGGCGGGGCTAACCGCATCTCATCCGCCTGCAGAAAGCCTCACCCTGGAGCAGCACCTACTAAGACTTCAGCCAATGTCCCCAGAGGGACCATGTGGATGCAGAAGACCAACTGAACACAGCCAATTAGTACTTATGGACTCCCTGAGATAAGGCTGTTTGTTCTAGCCTAGCCTGGGGAAGACCTCGGTAAAGAACATCAGCCCTTCAACTTGGTTCATTGCTTCCAAATGCCTTGTGCCTTGACCACCACGATGCTTCATTATGGCTTTACCCTGATCCCAGATATCGCTCTGTTAAAATACAAATGGTTCCAGCCTAACGTCACAGCTAGTAAGGGTCAGGCAGCCTTCAGTAAGAAAAGGTAATCAATGCTAAGCCTTTGCCTCTGAGATCAAATGGTAAAGGTGACACACACACTCCCTGCGCGTGAGCATTCTGCCTGCATCCCACCAGCCGTTGTCAGAAGCATGCTATGCGTTCTGCGTAATGACTCAAGTGATTTAAACAAACCAGGTCTGTGGAAGCTGGATTTGGAAGTGTGTAGTTTTCAGCTCTCAGTCCTGCAAGAGACCCTATTTTGCAGCTAATGAGGTCGTGGAGCATGGTCCAGACCACAGGGAAGGTTGTTCACACACACACAGGAGAATATGGAGGGAACCACTGCTGTGGGGGTAAATACTATGACTTCAGGGGCCTGCTAAACAAGCCAGCTCATGTCAGTGTGCACCCTGATTTCTATTCCCACTAAGAGGAAGGAAAAATACCATGGGACGTGTTTCACACTCAGGAGACACACTTTCCTTGGCTATTAAGAAAACAATCTCAGAATGAAGCGCTGCCTCTGTCTCTCTTCAGAAACGCACAGAGCCCATGAGAGATGAGACGATTCCAAGGCATTGTTGGGGCAAGCACAGGTACAGTGCTGCCATGAGTTTACGGAGCATGCTTGTGGGTGAAATGAAACACACTGGGATATCAGAGACCGATCCACACACGGACTGAGCAAAACAACCAGCTCCTTCCTCCCAGTGCTGATTCACAGCAAGTGGACTTTCATTTGGCTTTGAAAAGTCAAGTAAGATATGAAAAACAGATGTCCTACACCAGAAAAGATAAGTGAAATATGGATTTGTTTCCATCATTCAAGAAGAGAATATACTTTCCTGGTCAGCAAGTCAAGAACAGCCACCTAATAAAACCACTAGCTAATGAGGGTCTTGCAGGTGGCAGGCCTATTCTACAAGGCTGCTGTACCCACAGGTAACAGGACTAGTTAGCAGAAAGTGGTGATGGACTTTCAAAAGCCCTCCATTTAGTTTACGAAACTTTGAGATAACAGTACTAGGAGAAAGGAGGGCATACAAGCACTGTTATATCTTTGCATTTGCTCAGACAAGAGTAAAATGGACTTACTTAAGAGTCAACCTTGAGTTAGGAATATAAGTCAGTTGTAGAGTACTTGTCAAAGATGTATAGGCCTTGGCTTGATTCCTTGCAAAACACACACACACATGCTCATATAAAGGAAAAAAATCAACTTTGGTCTACCTTCTTTAATTCTTATCATTTTTAAACTGCTAAATAGGAACATCAAATGTAGTGTTACAAGACTGGAAAATTCCTGTAACATATACTGCAAGTGATGGCCACCTGGTCTGGATACTGAAGAATGAGACCCAAACAACAGGTATTCTTTCAGTGGGTCTCCTGGTCACTTCTTGTTTGCAACAAGTCCTTCTCAGAGAGAAAGACAGATTTCACTGCTCACATTTAGGACAAAGAAAAATAACCTGGCCCTGATAGCAAGAGCACACGCTGGCTTACCTGCAGACGCTTGATTTTCTGGACATTGTAGTACTGGGGGAAGAAGGTGGCGTCTGATAGGACCAACTGTAATCAGAGCCTTTCAAGTCCAGAATCACCTGAGGAGACAGAGCCAGCTGGGTAAGCAATCTCCACAGCTACCTGGACATCCAAAGCTGCCCTCATGGGGTAAAAAAATCAGAAGAAAATGCTACTTTCTTTTAAATTGAGAAACCCATACTACCCAATCCATCCTTGAAATCCTTTCCGTGGGACCAGCAAAAGTAATAGAGGGAAAAGAAAAACCATAAAACATCAGTGGGGAGACAGAGGGGAGGGAGAGACAGGGGGAGGGATGGAGAATATGAATATATTTTCTGTGTGCTGGTAATGGGGTTGAAACTTAGGACCTCATCTTCTTGTTTGGATTTCCTGTTCAGGGCTGGAGCTCTACCACTTGAGCCACACCTCCACTTCTATAGGAGAATGAATTATAATGTCTAAGTAACTACTCACAGGACCTATTTGTAGGATTTTGCAGGATTTTTGCAGGATTTTCACCTTGTAATATCATAAAGGCAATAATGGTTTATGGACTCCTTAAACTTGCACTCAAAAACACTTGATGTTCAATGGTTACTTCTGCCCTATTTGGCCAGGATTAGAAACCTGACAACCTGACTGGATCAAGTCAGTTTTTTCCACAAATTGTTTTTGTGCCTGTACCCTGTGCTGGACAAAGAGCCACTTGAGTGTAAACTGTAAGGTCCACCTCTCCTTCACAGAAGAGGAGCTCCACCAGAGTCTACTTATTGAGTGAATGCACACTCTGCTCTTCAAGAAGCAATTTCATAGAACACACCACTTCAAAACTTATCTTCTGAGCAGTCTAAAAAGAAAAAGGCATTGTATACAAAAGGCTGAAGCCAGCCTGTGATTTTCTCAAACATGTCTCTTCCAACCAGATACAGAACTAATGTCACACTAAATAAATAAAGAAAGAAATATTAACAAAGATGAACTGACGTAATGGAAGTCTATGTGGAGCGCTCAGAACGGGGCCTGACACACAACCCAGGTGTTGTATAATGACTGGTTATGATTACCATACATTATAATGTCAAGGTCACCTTGAAATAGATAGGAGTTAAGATGTGACAGGTGCCACAGAGAATACTCAGAGCCTTGAAATTTCATCTCTTTGGTTTGGTCCCGAGTGCTCGCTCCACAGCTCTTACCTGTTCACTGGAAGAGGGCAGTTTGTGAGGGTCCATGGTCAGGCTCTTTAGATCTTCTGATATGGTCTGCAGGTGGGTGATTTCCCCTAGCATTGAGATTTCTTCTTCCTTAAGGAAAGTAATTGATGACATTATTGTTATGAGTGATTCTCACTTCCTTGTCATATTCTAACCACTTTAATTAGGGTCACTGGTAACTGCACAACATGTTCACCTTTGGAAGTGTGGGGGGGGGAGGAAATCTGCTGAAGGTCCACTGAAATACAAAGGAAAAAGAAGCTGGGCACTGTGGCTCACACCTTTAATCCTAGCTACTCAGGAGGCTGAGATGTGAGGATGAGGATCATGGTCCAAAGCTAGCCTAGAAAGAAAAACCTGCAACACTTGTGAACTCCAATTAATCATCAAAAAGCTAGAAATGGAGTTGTGGTTCAAGTTGTCAAATGCCAGCTTTTTTTTTTTGTTGGTCCTGGGCCTTGAACTCTGGGCCTAGGACTGAACACTGGGCCTGAGCTCTTTTTGCTTAAGACTAGTACTCTACCCTTGAGACACAGAGCCACTTCTGTTTTTTTCTGTCATTTGGTTGGAGATAAGAGTCTGATGGACTGCCTGGGCTGGCTTCAAACTGTGATCCTCACAACTCAGCCTCCTGAGTAACTGGATTACAGGCATGAGCCACAGGTGCCTGGGCTAGAGTACCAGCTCTGAATGAAAAAGCTAAAAGAGAGCACACAGGCCCTGAATTCAAGCCTTAGTACTAGTGGGGGGAAAATAACAAAAAAAAATTCAGTCATCATCACAGAGTGACGTGACAGGGAAGGAGCCTGGGGTCCTCACTGAAGTGCCAGACTTCCAGATGAGCTGGGATCAGGCCCTCAACACGGGCTGTCTCGTAGCACCACATAGCACAGTCCCTTCCACAGGCCTAAGAGTCAATGCCTAATATGATCTGGGGCTATTTGGGTCAAAATGTTTGTGACAGTACATGTGTGTCCAATAGACGTTAACTGTCCTCTGCCCCATTTTGTTTTTGTTTTAGTTCCCCACACCCCACAATCTTAACAGAAGAATGGAAACATTTTGGTCACCTTCTTCTTGGTCACCTTCCCAAAGTGCCCAGCTGGGACTGTGGCTAGGCAAGAATGGTCCAGAGAAAACTTTTACATTTGGGGGTGGGGGGATGGGGTGGGAAGGACAACTCACATTTAGAGATTTTTGCCAGGGCTGGGAAATGCAGGCCAGCAACTTGATCATTGCCCCCAAAATGCCAGCTACACAAGTTTTCCATTGCAGCATGTGTACAACTTACTTAAAAACTAAATTCGATACGACTAAAGATACTTTTTAAAACTTGAAAAAAAAAGTATGAATTGATTCAGTGAGGCTCTTCTAATTGTTTTACTTAGCCTGGAAGTCTCAAAAAAAAAATCACCTGGAGGTGATTTTTAAGCACTCTGCTAGGCCTTCTTGACTCAGTTGTTTACACAAGTCAATTGCTGTATCTGGGGCTGAGACCAGTGAACAGGAATGCACGCTTCTGCCTGACATCAGCACCTTGCAGGCAAGCGCTGTTCTACAGATGCAACTCCTCCAGCACCATTCTGACACCACAGACTCTCAATGCCTCAGTGATAGCTACACACATGGAGGGTGGAAGTCCCGCCCCCTCTGCACAGAAGTTCACGCTTCTGGAGCTCTGCATCCACTTACTATCACTGGCCGCAGCATGGAGATGAAGGTGCAGAACCGACCTCGCTCTTCAATCAGTGCCTTGCGGACAGCCTGCTTTTCTGTCTCTTCCAACAGGAGATATTTATCATTGACGTCTTGGAGAGCACTGTCCAACTGAGGCTGGATGTCCCCTCTCCCTGCAGATGAAACAAAGCCACAAGGGGGGGCGTGCTGAAATATCTGTTTCTGGAATAAACACTCGTCCTCCCTGGGGGCCTTGTTGGATCATTTTCCAGGATTTAAAAAATTATCCCAAAAGATTCAAAGTGCCCATTTCCCTAGGATCAGAATACGGATCCAGTTTCCAACACTTAAACGGCACATTTTTGTAGTTTATTCATGACAAGAGGACTCTCCTGGGGCCGCTCTCTGACTCATCGCCTCTTATGTCCACACAGCCTTCTGCCAACCCAGCCTTGGGACGCACAGCCAGCGCTGCTATTTCCTTTACAACATCCTGAAGAGGCCAAGGATGGAGGAACAAGGTGGGATCCTGTGGATGTTTCCAAAAATGAACACAAGCTGGCTTTACTGGTCAACCTCAATGAAGGAGCCTTGGTTGGAGAAGGTTCTATCCCTGAAAACAAACGTGAGATATCTGCTCCTTGGCTCTGTGGGCTCTGAAAATCCTTGGAAGTTCACTAAACTATCTCAAGTACTCTTCTAGAGAACAAGCCCTGTGACAAAAGACTTATAGTCAGGTCTCCACTGGTGACAAAACAATGGTGGAAAGTACATCAAGCTTATTGTTTAGCCACCTGGCCATGTCTACAGTCCCTAGTTATACAGGATGTTAACCTTTCTAACAATGCTGGGACATGAGGAGCAAGTTATCTGTGTAAATAAAGTTTTATTAGAACATAGTCATGTGCACGGCAGAGTAAAGTGTGGTGACTCAGACAGACTGTGTGGATTTAAGACCAAGCTTATTTGTTGCTTTGCAAAAGTGTGTTGCACTTGAAAATAAACATGGGTGAATAGGCACTGTGTCTAAGGGAGTAGTTACAGCAAAGCTCATCTGTAGGGGTACAACTTGGAGGCAGGGTCCCCTCTTGAGCTTCTATGCTTGGCTCCCTCTGAAGGGAGCTAGAGAAAGTTTCTAAACTCCTTCAGGATAGTGTGTTCACCTTTCCCTGAATAGCTTCCATAACAATGCTGTGCTTGAGAAACATCTGTATAATAATGTCTAACATACACTGTGTTCGCCAGTAAATATAGTATGTGCAACGTTGTATGTTACACAAGTCTCCCTATTCCAGGTGACTGGTAAACATATGATGTAATTCTAAAGAATATATAGTATCTAATGCCATAGAATTTTTTTTCTGTCAGTATAAGAGATTTAACTTTGGGCTTCCTGATTCCAAGGCAAGTGCTCTATCACTTTAGCCACTCTTCCATCCCTTTCTGTCGTGCGCGCGCGTGTGCGTGCGTGCGTGTGTGTGTGTATGTGTGTGTGTGTAAATGTCAACCAGAGGCTTGAACTCAGGGAGGGCCTGGGCACTATCCTGGAACTTATTTTGCTTAAGGCTAGCACTCTGTGTACCACTTGAGCAACAGCTCCAGTTGTTTATTAGAGATAAGAGTCTCACACATTCCTGCCCAGAATGGCTTTGAACCACAACCCCTCCTTCGTAGGTAGGATTACAGGCCTGAGCCAACAGTGCCCAGCTTGTGTGAGATAGGGTCTTGTTTTAAGCCTAGACTGGCTCAGACTGCAATCCTACTGTTCACACTCCCACTCCTCACAGGAATGACAGGTATGCACGAGATAATGGCTGACATGGAGTCTTACAAATATCTTTGTCCATGCCAACCTGAAACTTCAGTCCTTCAATCTGCCCCCCCCCCACACACACACTAAGTAGGGAAGATTACAGGCTTGATACCCAGCCACCAAAGAATTTTACCAAACAGTTATGTAAGAAATCTACTGGCAAAGTTTCTGCCTATGTTGAGGCAGTTCACTCAGCACCCAGAGACTCCCCCCACCCCCGACACACACCCACACGATCCTCCATCATTTTTCTTCAACTTCTCTGTAAAAGACTTTGGGGAAATCATTCCTATACATTAATGGGCCACCAGAACCACTGGCTTTAATGTTTTTAGTGGAGAAACCTTGAAAACACATTCTTGGATTCTCTCCCAGCATTTCCCAGGAGGCAAGCACTCTTGTGAAATGTCACCCACCTGTGTAGCCCAAGCCTAACACAGGGAAGGCTAGGCCATCACCAGGCATATGAAAATTGAGGATTTTTTCTTCATCTATTTTTAAATGATGGCTGTGCAATAGAACCCACCTAAACTGAAGATATCCAAAACAATCCCAATGGTTACAAAGTTCAGAATGCTGTAAACTAGTCACTCTTTATTTGCAATCTGTAAAACTGTGGCCAATTACACTGGATGTGGCCTCACTGGCTGAGGCCCCAGGGCTCAGGTTCAGCCTTTTCTGTTCTGTCCTAACAGCAAATTAGGAAGGGCTACCAATCAAACCAGGACAGACAGACAGACAGACAGACAGACAGATATAGATAGATAGATAGATAGATAGATAGATAGATAGATAGATAGATAGATAGATAGATAGATAGATAGATAGATAGATAGATTTGTACTTTCTTTTGTTTTTGAGACAAGGCCTCCTAGTTCAAGCAGGCATTAAGTCACTGTAGTCTAAACTGGCTACAAGTTCCTCTTGCCTCACCTTCCTAAATTCTGGGATTGCAGTCATGTATCACCATACCCTGGCTTCAGAAGTTATTTGCTTCAGTAAAGGAGCACAGAGGGAAGCAGGGAGAAACAGATTTAAACACATAATGTTTGAATATGCTTGAATATGCATTTTATAAGAGGATAACCATAAGCAATGGGAAAGTTTTGTATCTCTTTTACAAGTTACAGACACCTGTCAACTTGTAATTAACCAAGAGTTTTGTGTCAGGTGCAGCAGATACACATGTATAATCTCAGCACTTCAGCCTCTGAAGTTGGAGGCTCTTGAGTTCTAGACCAGGCTGGGCTACATAGTGAGATCCTATCTAAATAAATAAGAATAAATAATATATCTACATTAAAGATGTATCTACATAGGAAATCAAAGTGAATGTGCTATCTAATTTGCTAAGTATAGAGCTATATTAGTCTATGATTATAGCAGTTATTTCAAAGATGCATTATGTTATAATTAAAGAACTTCAAACCGTAGTATCCAAAAATACATATAATCTGTAAAGAGTGTTCTAATTCTGGTTCTAGTGAGAATATTCCCACTGAAGAATCTAATCTAAAAACACAATGATTATTTCTTAAACTCATTCACACAACATATAATTATATTTATTAAAAAACAACTTCAGAAGAAATTATTTTCTGTCCTAATTATATGTATTATTGTTTTAAAGATGTTGCCATGTTTGGGGACCACAAATCCCCAACCATATTGGTCCTAGTTTAATAAGAATTGTCTCTCCAAAGAGTTACATTCATCAAGATGCACTGTACTTAGAAGTCAATTTGTTGAATGGTAACTCTTGAACAATTAAAGGATGTGTGGCGGGGTCTTGAACTCTGGGCCTGGGCGCTGTCCCTCAGCTCTTCAGCTCAAGATGAGAATTCTACCACTTGAGCCACAGCACCACTTCCAGGTTTCTGGTGGTTTAATTGGAGATAAGAGTCTCATGGACTTTCTTGCTTGGGCTGGCTTTGAACGGTGATCCTCAGATCTTAGCCTCCTGAGTAGTTAGGATTACAGGCACGAGCCACCAGTGCCCAGCAAGGGTAATTTTTAAAATATATATTTTTATTTTTAAAAAGTGTTGCCTCTCAGTATTTCCAGAGGATTGGTTCTAGAGCCTCCATAAATACCCACAAGTTCCTTCTATAAAATGTCAAGCTTGACTATAACCAACACACATCCTTTCATATACTTTAAATTATTTATAATAACTAACATGATAACTAATACTACATAAATCATTCTTATACTATATTGCTTAGGGAATACTGACAAGAAAAAAGATTTACCAATGCTCAGAATAGATGAACAAAATTCTTGTTTCCTAACTATGGGACTTAAATTTGAGCTTTTTTGCTCAAGGTTAACACTCTAACACTTTGAGCCACAGCTCCACTTCTGCATTGCTTGTGGGTAACTGGAAATACAAGTTTCACAGACTTTCCTATTCAAACCACAATCAGAGCTCAGCCTCCTGAATAGCTGGGATTACAGGCATGAGCCACCAGCCTCTGGCTCAGATATATATATATATATATATATATATATATATATATATATGATCTGTGTTTGGTTGGATCTGCAGATTTAGACCCTGAAGGCAAGGAAGTCTGACTCATAAAGGCCTATTCATTTCCCTCCTGTAAGCAGTGTTAGGCCTGAACATTCACAATCCTCAAGCAGTCCTGGCCATTCTTGTCATCCACCCGCCTCCCCCCCCCCGAAATATACACACACTCCCCTGGTTTCACCTTTCTACCTTCCCTGTGGAGCAGGCCACCAGGTCTCATGTCTCTGCTTAACATCTACCATAGAGTTGGACTGACAATCTTAAAGTGTCAATCCAACTATCTTGGACCAGCTTTCCCAGAGCACCCCCAAAGTAACCAACCAACCTACCTACCTACCTTCCTTCCGTGTGTGTGTGTGGAGCAGGCCACCAGGTCTCATGTCTTTGCTTTAACATCTACCATAGAGTTGGACTGACAATCTTAAAGTGTCAATCCAACTATCTTGGACCAGCTTTCCCAGAGCAGCCCCAAAGTAACCAACCAACCAACCTACCTACCTTCCTTCCGTGTGTGTGTGTGTGTGTGTCTGTGTCTGTGTGTCTGTGTGTGTCTGTGTGTGTTGTGTGTGTACACAGGTCCTGGGGTTTTAACTCAGGGTAGTTGCTCCCATGTGGCTTTTTCTGCTCAAAGCTGGTGCTCAAGAACTTAAACCACATCTCCACTTCACCAAAGTACTTCCAACAATCAAATATGAGCACTCTTCTTCAGTAGCTCCCACTGCTCTCAGGAAAAGCTCATTGCTCTAACTTCACACAGCCCACCTTGCGAAGCAGTATGCTTCCCTGCTGGTCCACTCCCAACCTCAGCCTTCTGAGCCATTGTCTCC